CCCCCCCCTCCCTTAACTATATCTGGACTCTCTTTAAAGTAGAAAATCAAAAATTTTCTTCCCAAAAGAAAAACATATCCTCAATTAAGTAAGGATTTCAATTGGCTACAATTGAAATCTAATTACTATTGTTTTTTTTGCCGATGAAGTTGTGGTATTTGTAGTACTTGTAGTACTTGTAGTACATGTAGTACTTGTAGTACTTGTAGTACTTGTAGTACTTGTAGTACTTGTAGTACTTGTAGTACTTGTAGTACTTGTAGTACTTGTAGTACTTGTAGTACTTGTAGTACTTGTAGTACTTGTAGTACTGGTAGTACTGGTAGTACTTGTAGTACTTGTAGTACTTGTAGTACTTGTAGTACTTGTAGTACTTGTAGTACTTGTAGTACTTGTAGTACTTGCAGTACTTGTAGTACTTGTAGTACTTGTAGTACTTGTAGTATTTGTAGCTCTGGCACAGCGTGCGCAGATAGTGAACCCCAGGAAAAAAAACCTACTAAAGTGACAATGGAGCCCTCCTGGTCCAGGGCCTTGGGAAATTGTGAAAATGAATGTTCTTTAATAAGGGTTTAATAAGGATGGGATGGCGCCTTTGGAAAGGCTTGGAGTTGAATTTGGGCCAATTGCCCTTTGGAGGAAAAGGCTTACTTCTCTCGGGGCGTCCAGGGGCTGCTCTGGCACAGCTTGCTGCAATAGTGAACCCAGCAAACAAACTTACTAAAGTGAAATGGAGCCTCTCCTGGTCCAGGGCCTTGGAAAATTGTGGAAAAGCTGTTCTTTAATAAGGGTTTAATAAAGGATTGGCTCCTTTGGGAAAGGCTTGGAGTTTGAATTTAGCAATTGCCTTTGGAAAAGGCTTGCTTCTCTTCTGGGCTTCCAGGGGCTGCTCTGGCACAGCTTGCTGCAATAGTGAGCCCAGCAAACAAACCTACTAAAGTGAAATGGAGCCTCTCCTGGTCCAGGGCCTTCGGAAAGTGTGGAAAAGCTGTTCTTTAATAAGGGTTTAATAAGGGATTGGCTCCTTTGGGAAAGGCTTGGAGTTTGAATGTGGCAATTGCCTTTGGAAAAAGCTTGCTTCTCTTCTGGGCTTCCAGGGGCTGCTCTGGCACAGCTTGCTGCAATAGTGAACCCAGCAAACAAACCGACTAAAGTGAAATGGAGCCTCTCCTGGTCCAGGGCTTTGGAAAATTGTGGAAAAGCTGTTCTTTAATAATGGTTTAATAAGGGATTGGCTCCTTTGGGAAAGGCTTGGGGTTTGAATTTGGCAATTGCCTTTGGAAAAGGCTTGCTTTTCTTCTGGGCTTCCAGGAGCTGTTCTGGCACAGCTTGCTGTTGTGAACCCAGCAAACAAACCGACTAAAGTGAAATGAAGCCTCTCCTGGTCCAGGGCCTTGGGAAATTGTGGAAGAGCGTTCTTAAGCAAGGGTTAATAAGGATTGGCTCTTTGGGAAAGCTTCTGGAGTTGGAATTGGCAATTGCCTTGGAAAACGGCGTACTTCTCTTTCGGGGCTTCCAGGGCTGCTCTGGCACAGCTTGCTGCAATAGTGAACCCAGCAAACAAACCTACTAAAGTGAAATGGGGCCTCTCCTGGTCCAGGGCCTTGGGAAATTGTGGAAAAAGCTTTCTTTAATAATGGTTTTTAATAAGGGATTGGCTCCTTTGGGAAAGGCTTGGAGTTGAAATTTTTGGCAATTGCCTTTGGAAAAGGCTTGCTTTCTCTTCTGGCGCTTCCAGGAGCAGCGGCTCTGCACAGCGCTGCAATAGTGAACCCAGCAAACAACCCTACTAAAGTGAAATGGGGCCTCTACTGGTCCAGGGCCTTGGAAAATTGTGGGAAAGCTGTTCTTTAATAAGGGTTGAATAAGGGATTGGTGCTTTTGGGAAAGGCTTGCAGTTTGAATTTGGCAATTTTGGAAATGGCTTGCTTCCCTTCTTCAGGGGCTGCTCTGGCACAGCTTGCTGCAATAGTGAACCAGCAAACAAACCTACTCAGATAGAGATGCATTTACAGGCTCAGATAGGGAGATGAGCAAAAAATTGACTGAGCTACAGCGTTTTTGAGAAAAAATGCCTCTCAGCAATTACAGTTTTTTTGCAAAAAAAAGGGCTCTCCCAATTTTGTTTTGCCACAAAAGCGAACCCTCCAAACAATACATGAGTTTCAGAATAATTTGGAAAAAAATTGCCACAATAGCGACCCTAGGTACTAATCAGGACTCAACATTAGAATGGGACGCAACCAAGAATACGATACGGGTTTGTCCAGAACTGCTGAGGGAGGGAACATCTTCCAAAATCGGTATTTTCGATGTGGTACCCATTTCATTGGCATATAAGTGGCATATGTCTAATGGGGAACGTGATGATAAACGGATTTAAGGTGTGCCCGATTTTTCAAGCAAACCACGCATGGACAGCTGGGACCCAAGCCAAATATGTCAAGAAACCTGTGGATCTAGCCAGGATTGTCGGATCGGTGATTGACACAAATACCATCAGCTTACGAGCAAAATGAAGATGTGACCGGCTGGAAATACCGAAAAATCCATGAAATTTCTTAGTGAAACAACTTGGCCCCCCCTAAAAGAGAGTGGGATGATTTTCAGTGGCCAATCTGACGCAGTTGTGTGCCATTGTCCATGCGGGATGGGGATTCTACTATTGGGACACCATGATCTTGACACCACATACTCGTGGCGACAAACACTTAAACATTGCATCCAAATTAAATCATGTGCATTGAAAATGAGTTCCAAGCGTCTGATTTTTGTTGATTGTATATACAATATAGTGTGGTAAACCCAATGAAACCTACCATTTGGAGATGATGGTTACCACCCATTTATGGTGATATATTGCGGATGGGTCTATTATTGGGTTTACCACATTATAAGAATTTTACCAACGGGACCATTTTTGGTCCTGGTGAAAGGGGTCCTGTCCTCTGACAGATTTTGTGGGCAGGTCACTATGAAAAGGCGTTGTTTCGCATGGATTGAAAAACAATTTGCAGGAGATGTCATGTTAAGAAAAGATCAGAAGAAATGGCCTTCCCAATCTCAAGAATGCAAGAACACCGGGCAATTTTTCCGGATGATGTCCTGTAAAATTTGTTGTTAACCTTTCCGGCCTTGGGCAGAGCCTTGGGGTGTCTAAGGGACCGCGTGGCCAGAGTAAGAAGTTCTTGGTGGAGATTATTCGCCCAATATACCATGCAGCCCGCAGCATTTAGAGCCCAGGAGCCTTACGTTTCACGGTGAAGAATGAGGTTATAGAGCCCGTGATAGGAAATGGTTTCATCATGGTTCTAGCTGAGGGTTGATCTATAGGGAAACCATGGTCAACCAGTAGGCTTGGGAATGGAGCAGTGGTGACTGTCAGGCAAGGGTCCCATAGTTCATTGTTCTTTGGTTCGAAGCCAACATTCAGCTCTAGTTTGTTTTGTTTTTTGAGTTCTGTTTCTACTGTTGCTGTTTCGTCTCTACTTTTTATTCTTATTTTTGTTTGTTTTTTTGATTTCTTCTATTCCTTATTTTGTTTCTTCTTGTGGTGTGGCGATCGTCCCAGTTTGGCCCGGAGAGATCTCAGGTGGTTTTCAATGAACATTACGATCGGGTGGCCATCAAATACGACTGCAAGGACTTCAGGGGTCCATTTTTTGGACGTCACCAAAAATGGGGCAGTGAACCAATGAACAACAGGCCATGTTCATGGCTAAGCCAACGTTCACTTGGACATGATATGAATAACCAGCAGTGGATACCAGTAGTAATGTCACTTCCGGATTCCGGGCAGTACTTAACCTTTAGCATCCCGTGGATAAGCATTGCAAAGCAGCTAGCACCCATCACATATCGATGCTGCCCTTCTTGTGGGACAAAAAGCGACACGCCATCAGGGGCAAGGCTTTTTTGTCGCAGAATGGCAGCTTGGGACCTTGAAACAAGCCTGTAGATTCCTTAAGGGAATTTCCTGAGGGTATTTTTTCATGTTGTGCAATTTGGACAGGACAACAATAAGCCCCTGGACGACAAGAAGCTGCGGAAGGGATATGACACTTACCTTCCTGCCGACAGTGCCTAGGTCCTGTCGCGGATGGAAATCGTGGTTCAATGATGTTCAATGAGGAAACTACAAACTGGACATGTTTGCTTCGACAAGCTCGACACAAGAATGATCGCTTGCCAGCCATTTTTTATGGCCCAGTGATTTCATCACATGAAGGAGCAACTCGAAGTTGATCCGTGATAGTCAATGATAGTTGATAGTACCCATAGGATCCATGTATGCTATATATATATGGTAACATTACCATCAATATACCCCAAATGCTACCATATATACCATACATGGATTCTCTGGGGTAAAACATGACTTATCCTTTCGGGGATCGCTGGACTCTGCCAGCGGAGTCCGTGTTAGTGAAGGTGACCACTTCGGGGAGCAACCTCAGGATGGGAACCCGAAAACAACACATGGATTTCTTTCGGAACCCGGCTGGTACTCAAACATGATTTGCTGACAAATCATGGAAAATCCTTATCTAGGACAACGTTTTTTCCCATTAGAATGCCAGAAAATGCCCATTCCCAATCAGCTATGTTTGAGGACACCATTGCGGTTGCCGAATTTCCAGAAAACCCTACCGAGTTTCCAACTAAGGTGCCAACTATGATGACTGGCCACTCGACTTCATCTTCATCCTCAGCTACACATAGGGCACCCTTCAATCCATTGATTAATCACAATTTTCCTTCTAAAAACTGGCCATGTTACCGGGATATACCCCTAAAAAAGACATGTTTAAGTTTAAATATGTTCAATCATGTTTATCTGTAAAATCGACGAACATGTGGCCCCAAAAAAAGAACGAAACATAGCCCCAAGAATTCTTGGTAAACGAGTGGCTTGCAGAGTCAGGAGGTTCTCGGACTCGGTCAACTCTCTCTAGCGCAGCTAGATGATCCATAGAGTATGATATGGGTTTGTCCGAAAATGGGGTACACTCCCAATATGGCCATTTACCTTATGGACAATGATGATTTAAACCAAGGGGCACCCAATGTTCAGACAAACCCATACTGATGTTCTTTGATGTTCATAGAAGTAGACGTATCATTCGTTATTGTCGTTATTATTAATCTTTTGACATACTCATATTTGTTCAAAAGCAATCCCCCCAAAGAAAAATCAATAAATCATCGACCATCATCACCCATTATCAATGAATCATCAAAAGTCACGATTTTTCCGGGTAAAAAAAACCGCTTCCGGATTTTCCGAAGAATTCCGGCGACGTTCGAGGAACGAGCTGGTCATGGACATCGATCGTCTACTGGAGCCCTTGGGCTTCCTCCGCGACATCCAACCAAACCGGCTCTATGGGCAGCTGCCGCGGCTGATGTTTGGGGGGTTCATGACCCTAAAATCGAAAAAAAACTTTGGTTTCTTGGGGATTTCGCCATGTAAGCAGTTTATAAACTGTTTTTGTTGTTGGAAAGATGTGTGTGTGTGTAAGCAACATCTGAATAGATGTAAAACCTCTCCTTTTTTTCTTTTTTCTCTCCTTCTAGCAGGGGGACTGGAGCTGACAACGAAGCTATGGCATTTCGGTGGATGAGTGGTCTGATCAACCACTTGTACCTGCATTTTTTCCAAGCAAATTTGCACGTGAGGGGATTCAGTTCCCGACGGATCCATAAAAGATCCGTTCTTGTCTAGTGTGATTCCTATGGTGACTCCGACATGGTGCCATAGGGCCAATGGAGGCAACCCCATTGTGGATGAATGGAGACGGTCCTGACTTCTGAATTTACACATTTTAATTTGGTAATTCGTGTACGTATTGTGAAACAGTTGGCCTTACCATTTGTCAGCCTTTTTACTACGTCCTGCGGCTCCTGCGGTCCTGTGTCGAACCTTGGTAATTTCTCTTCTGCGACAGTGAGGCTGTTCTGAAGTACCAGAAACTTCCGTTTCATCGCTGCAGCTTTTTGGGAGTGGAACAGGAACAGGACACATGACACTTTCACTAGGCAGGTCCATGCTTGCAGGTTTGGTGCTTCTTTCTTTTTATTGTTATTTGGTGAGGTTGAACATATCGTGCACTTAATTCGTCGGAACTTGAACAGCTGTTTATGCCTATGTGGCTTGACCTGACTACGTTCCCGGCTGGGAGTAACGCACGACTCTTTAGGATAGAGCTGGGTCCCCTTCATTAATTATTTTGTTGTTTCACCTCCGTCACCAACTAGTCCCCCATTCGGTCCCTAATTCTTCCCCCGTGCCCCTCGGGAATGTGTTGTGGGGTTCAGGTGTGTGCCCTGTGTTGGTTAGGTCCGTCTCGCCGTGTAGGTTGGTTCTGGAGGTCCGTTTGTTCCCCTCCCCCCCTGCGCTGTTTCGGCCTTGGCCCGTCGTTTGTGTCCGCTTTTCTCGCCCCCTTGCCTTTCAGGGTTTTCCCGGTTCCGGCCAGGTGTGTGTGTGTGTGTGTAACATCTGAATAGATAGATGTAAAACCTCTCCTTTTTTTTTCTCTCCTTCTAGCAGGGGGACTGGCGCTGATTTGCCTATCCAGTCCAACGAAGCTATGGCATTTCGGTGGATGAGTGGTCTGATCAACCACTTGTACCTGCATTGTTTCCAATCAAATTTGCACGTGAGGGGATTCAGTTCCCGACGGATCGATTAAAGATCCATTCTTGTCTAGTGTTTGTGCGTGTCTAAGTGACGAACATGTGACCACTTGAATCCATTTGATGCATACATGATGGGATAGCTGGATAGCTGATTGAAAAAGCATGGTCGCAACCATTTGTTGGGAGTCATAATCCATTCAGCAGCAGTTGAGGAACTTATTATTATTAACCAGGTTCTCAACAATTTGCTGACTGAGATAGAAGGGCATGCGGACAAGATGTTGTGTGGTTTAAACATGCAAAGGATGAAATGGTGTGGATTGACAGTTGACACGATGCAAAATCAGGCAGCAAGGTGGTATGATGTGGCATCACTCAAAACAACATATTGTTAAGTTGCACTGCGCACCTTCCAGCTCTTTGAATGCATAAGAGACACTGAAAACTGACTGAGAAGCCCCGTGGAAGGAGGAATGATGTCCGTCATAGGTTGACATGAAGATGGCAAGGTATTCAAAATGATTCATTATTTTCCTCACATGACGTTGTCTCAACATGATTCAAACTTGGGGTGACGACTTGCATACGAAGAATCATGTTCACAAGCACCGGATTTCTGGTCGTGGTGCTTAGGGAATGGGGGGAACGGGATGATTGTTAAGCTACAGCACGCAGCTCATTTTCCCAATGGGATGATTGTTAGTGATTTGTAGCCCAATTAATTCTGGTTGGTGGTTTGGAACATGTTTGAATTTTCCCATATATTGGGAATGTCATCATCCCAACTGACGAACTCCATCATTTTTCAGAGGAGTAGGGCTTTACCACCACCCAGTTTCATGCTTCGCTTCAGGTGCACTGGAACGAAGTACTTTGCAATGCGAAGGTGGAACCTGGGGCGGCGTTGCGGCGGCCGTTGTGGCATTTTTTCGGGGTCCCCTCAATTCCAACAGGATTCGCATCATTTGATCACCATGTTCCCTCTTAAAAGGTGGGGGGTATACCCTCTGGTAAACTAACATAACTATGGAAAATCACCAAACTATAAACGGCAATTTTCAATAGCTATGTTAGTTTACCAGAGGGTACACCATTTTCAGACATACCCCATCTTTAAAAGACCTTAAGCTGCATGTGTTTCCTAACTCATATGCTAGCGATCCTGCAGACATGGTCTGGCTCCGTGTTCCTGCAGTGGTTTCACAATAGCTAATCATAAGAACTACAACGAGAATAATAACACATACAAATACGTATATATATATATATATAGATGTGTAACATCGTGTAATTGACATCCGTTCCTCCTAATACCAAACACCTTCTCAATGGCCCCAGGTATCCCAAATATATGTAAATCACCTACTAAATCATGTTTTTTTTGGGGTGGGTGTTTGATATTTAGGAGGAAGGGATTTATAATTAATATGTAACATCTAAAAACTATCAGTAACATAATAGCTACTTAATTGCCTTCGGCAAGCCCGCCGGCCATAGAGAGGTGGCCCCAAGGGAGTTTGATGTGCAGCTTCTGTGTGTAAGAGCGTCTGTGTGTAGAAGCTTCTGTGTCTAAAAAGCGTTTGTGTGTAAAAGCTTCTGTGTGTAAAAGTTTTAAAAGCGTCTGTGTGTAAAGCGTTTGTGTGTAAAAGCTTCTGTGTAAAAGCGTCTGTGTCTAAAAGCTTCTGTGTGTAAAGGGTTCGGTGAGTGTGTAAAAGCTTCTGTGTGTAAAAGCTTCTGTGTGTAAAAGCTTCTGTGTGTAAAAGTTTCTGTGTGTAAAAGCTTCTGTGTGTAAAAGTGTCTATGTGTAAAAAGGTTCTGTGTGTATAAGCTTCTTTTCTAAAGCGTCTGTGTGTAAAGCGTCTGTGTGTAAAAGCTTCTGTGTAAAAGCGTCTGTGTGTAAAAGTGTCTGTGTGTAAAAGCTTCTGTGTGTAAAATTTTCTGTGTGTAAAAGCTTCTGTGTGTAAAAGCTTCTGTGTGTAAAAGCGCCTGTGTGCAAAAGTGTCTGGGTGTAAAAGCTGCTGTGTGCAAAAGCTTCCTTGTGTAAAAGCTTCTGTGTGTAAAAGCTGCTGTGTGTAAAAGTGTCTGTGTGTAAGAGCTTCTGTGTGTAAAAGTGTCTGTGAGTAAAAGCTTTTGAGTGTAAAAGTTTCTGTGTGCAAAAGCTTCTGTGTGTAAAAGCTTCTGTGTGTAAAAGCTTCTGCGTGTAAAAGCTGTTGTGTGTAAAAGCTTTTGTGTGTAAAAGCTTCTGTGTGTAAAATTTCTGTGTGAAAAAACACCAAAAATGCTTCACTCTGCTGGGGGAGAGCTTTTTGGACGGGAGGGGGGGTTGGGGTGACTTTGATTCAGACGAAGCAAAAACGCGCGGCAAGAGAACAAAGGAACAAGTACAAGCCAAGAACAGAAACAAGTACAAACCAAGAACAGAAACAAGAACAACACCTTCCAATCAGACACGCCGGCAGGCCGGCGGCGGATCAAGAACCATTTTCGTTTTTAACTTCTACAGGAATTGTAATGTTTCTTCCATGGATAGACTTACCGAAGGGATGTTCCCTCGTTGTTTCACATTCTTACTGCCGATGTGTCCAAGATCTTCCAGAGAATTTTCACCCATTGCCCACCTCGTTTTTGACGCCGAAGGTGAAGACCCACCGAGAAGTGCACAGTTGGTGGGGCGTTTTCACGGCCACGCATCGGGTGTGGTTTCTGCATCTTTTGTCACTGAGACTGGAGAGCACAGTGGGCTGAGGGATCCTGTGGGATCCTGCGGGACCCTGTGGGACGTGAAAAAATGTGCCAGATACGCTAGATACGATGGATACGTAATGGTGATATGGGGATCCAATGGAAGAGAATCTATATAAATTATCATTCCATTAAATCATTAGGGATTTAGCTGGCAATGTCACAGTTTGCTCGGAGAAAATCTGGAAAATCATACTAAATATTATTAGGAATCTAATAAGGCAAAAAATCCGTATTAACACCCTATCATGCTAATAAGGCATTTTTTCATTATTAGAATACTAATAACGATTCAGACAAATCACCAAAATCAATCCTTATTAGGCTACTAATCCATTTTAGTTTGTATCCCTTCAATTTTCTGGATTAGTAGCCTAATAAGAAACCAATATATTCATGAATGCAAACCGATTTTCTTATTCACTATCTAAAAATCTTATGGGGGTACGGAGGGGGGTAGTGAAGAAGTTCATGATATTTTTAAAGGGGTAAATCATCTGCGATTCGATAGCTATGTTGAATTAGCAGAGGGTGTACTGGGAGAAAGATTAGACTCATGAAACAAAGAGACCATACAGCAGGAACCAGTCATGGTTCGAATTGGAGAAAAACAGTTTTTTCTTTTCGGAAATTTTCAGATGTGATCACGGATATCATGGTTCAGTAAAGCAATAGAACACATTTCATGGTTGGCATTGGTCTTGGTAGCGTTTTATTGCACATGAGTCATCCAGAAGTTCGGCGATGGATGGGACCATCCTGAGATAGGATAGATTAACCATGGTGGGGTACTAAGGTACACTAGATTACACTAGATTGCACTATTAAGACTAGAACGCTATTTTCAGACAAATCCAAAAGTTCCGAATCAAGAGTCGTGGTACTGATTATGGAAAGAGACTACTAACCGAAGTTAGTGATTAATAGTGATTAGTGATTAGTGTTTTGATTATATTCTAGTTATGTAAATTCGAGCAGATACTGTTACTATAAAAGCTCCTTTGAACCGGTTTAGTTCATGGTTTTTGTCGCATTTACGATGCATATGTCCTACCTCCCACCTGGGCCACACGTGTTCGGGTGCGGTTCATCACATCCCAACTTTGGAGCAAAGGGGAAGAGTTCCAGGGTTGTGAATCAAACAAACAAAGGCACAACCGTTGTCCGCTATTTTCTGGAGAACAGAGTTACATCAGTTTGAGACTTGTTTGTTTTCATCGTCGTTGAGGGTCTAACCATCCCCTTGGCACGCCACAAGGCTCTTTCTCCTCTGCATGTTTTGGGCTTCAGACAAGAACTACCCCCACGGCAAAGGCAGGAAAAGCGGGGGAATTGGATCATGGTCATTGCCGATTTCTGGCCCTATGACCCTATGACTTCAGGAACCCGGAAACCCTGATATGTGATGATATGTGACTCAAATGATTCACAGACCAAAATTGAGATGGTTTCAGATTCGGAATTCACAAGACCAGCCACAAAATGGCACTTATTGGCACTCAAATGACTATATGTGGCACTTATATTGGCACCTATATTGGCACTCAAATGACTTTGTTGTTCATCAACGTTCATCAATATGAAAGGATCCCAAGGTTTCAGAAAAGGTACCCTTTCTGGGGATAGCGATCTAACTTTGGCCATAACTGGGATGACCATATGCTATGGCTATGGATGAAAAATATTGGACAAAAGGCAACCGGTTGACTCGCCGCCCTTGTAAGGGTGACAAATTTGAAATTGAGATTTTCTAGGATTCTAGGGTAAGAAACAAATGCTGGTATTTGTGGCACTTGTCAAAAATGTTTGCAACATGGACATTCATTTCGATTGGCAGGCGTGTGACTCAAGTGTCAAAATGTGCGTTTAACTGCGCTGTGAATCGATTTTGCTCTTCAAGGGCAAAAAAAATACATTTGAAATTTATGATTTTCAATTATCGCATGCAACCATCCACCCATCCATTTCTTTTCTCTTCTCGAAGCCTCGGTGCCAAAGCGCTTTTGGCAACGCCGTGGCCACAGACTCCAACAAGGCACCATCATGACGCCATGTCCAGCTGCAAGCCCAAGAGCACCTTTTTTTGTACACTTGCTGGTTTTTCTTGTGCAGCATGGACATTGGTCTTCATTTTTGAGCTGTTTCCATGTACCAACCATTTATTATACTTGCGTAATACTCGTCAAGAACGTTATCACACCCCCCACCTCCCCTGATGACCATAAGAGAGCATGTGAACATGTCGAACAAAGCCGAAATTCAAATCCTGAACCCCCATTTTCGCAACCTTAATTTTCAAATTTGCAACCCTTCCAAGGGATCGTAAATGGCACATCTCAAAATAAGCCACCTTTCCAAGGGCAGCGTATCAGCCGCATGCCATAAACATGTATGTATATACTGTATATACATATAGTCCCAGACGAACAATAGGCAGGAAATTTGGTGCTTACTACTGCCCAAAAAAGTGTCCGATTTTTGGGTGTTTTTAGCATGTTCGTCGGGGGCATATTTCCGCAGGTTTTGGACAACCAGGGGTAAGCAGAAGTGTACCCTAGTGTGGTGTTTACATATGGTGTCATATTGTGGCTTCTGCTTCCTGCACTTCCTTTCCACTAAGGATATAATTGATATAATGAATACATAGAATTACATAGACATGTAATAGGCATCGCCTCAGGCCAGTTCGTGGCTCCATCTTGTGAACATGCGACTGATTTCGTCATGGGGTGGCACACAAATATGCATGTTCACGTGGGGACCCATTCATACAACCATCAAAACAGTGTGAATAAAAGTGCATTTCATCCAAAAAATGCAAGTGTTCTGTTCCTGCAGCTTCAAGAACATAGAAATAAAACAATGAAATTGCCAATTCCCCAGGAAAATGTGCCAAAATCATGGTGCAATCCTGATAGAATTAGCAAAAGACACAATTTGGCTTGGCCCAACACAAAAACAACTTGGCACAAGCAGAAACCTACCCCCAGCAAGCAGATCGTGGATCTGCTTACTGCAGCCCTTTGTTGGCGCTACCTCTAAAATTCGAGGATCTGTCATGGTAGATGCACCTTTACTGCGCGTAGTAAGTGGCATGAAGGACCTTGGGCAAAGTTTTGAACAGTGCAATAGCCATGGTGCCATCTTGATAAAAATAGAAAAGACAGAGAATTTAGCCTGGCCCGACGCAAAAGCAAGGTAACAGTGTCTGCAAGAGGCCGTGTCGGTGATGACATCACACAGTGCCGGGACAATGAGGGAAGTGTCCGAAACTGTAGTAATTTATGCAGTTTTATATTTCTGGAATAAATTTCTTGCGCAAATCCCTTGGAAAGGCCACTTCAAAAGTGGAAAATCGAGTGTTTCACAAGCACGAAACTGGAGTTTTGTTCGCCGAGGGTTTCGCCGAAAAGTTCCTTTTTTCCTTTCAAGCACAAAGTTGTCCGAGTTTGTTCAGGACATTACCTTGGACGCTCTTGCGCCACACTGCAGCATACAAGTACTTCCATTTTTTTGAAGTCTTGTCTGCAGTCATTATGTGTATGCAACTGCCGGGGAATTGTTTTTTAACCAATCCCACTGTCTGTCCAAAGTCTGTGTTCCGGCCAAAGAAGAACTCTTAGCTGTGGGCTTTCTGCCTAAGTGCTTCACAAACTCACCGCGGTTGTGGGCAACGTTTTGCCATTTGAGGCGTTTTTCTGGCACTTGTTGTTTGGAGGCTCCTCAACCATCAGCATAGCAAGCTGTTTTGGCTCGAATGCGTTGGAGTATGTTGGCAGCCATGATCTCACGAATGCTTTCTTGAGGAGGTTTGCAACCGCCAGGGACAACCTTCAGCTCAGCAGGTGCAAGCTCCAAGAATGCGGAAATGGATCAAGTAGTGGTCTGGGTCAGCAGCATGTGGATAGCGTCGCTTCCAGTCCAAGATGACGTATGTGTGGAAGCGCAAGGGAACGTCCAGCAGCGTAGCTTGACGCATGTCTGGAAGTGCAAGCGAACATGCAGCAGCGTACGTGTGGAAGTGCAAGGGAACGTGCAGCAGCGTAGACCCACCCGCACGAAGCAGTTCGTGGATTTGCTTACTGCAGCCCTTTGTCGACGACGCCGACGGTACCTCATACGTGTAGGGACCTGTCACTACATTTGGGGACTTGTCATGGTAGATTGATATTTTATGTGCATAGTGGGACGGCATGAGGGGCTTTGGCAAAGTTTTCACTAAGATCATTTCAGGGTCCAGATCCGTAAGTGTTAGATCCTGCAGGATTGAAAACTCAAAAATACCCAAGTTCATATGATGATTCTGTTCCGCCAAAATTGATGCGCGCCACCACTGGCGCCAACTCACTTGACGAAACAAAACGGATTCCAACGGGGCAACCGGCCACCAGATGATTGCGAGCCAACGCAAAAGCAACATGCACGCGTTTTTCACAAACATCATCACACGCTTCAACTGCAGGCAGGTTTAAACAGTCTTCAGCAATTTTGAGCAATTCTCCTCATTTTGAGCGTTTTTTTTGCAAAATTGAGCAATTTTTGAGCAATTTTGAGCAGAATTGAGCAATTTTGAGCAAAATCAAGCAGATTTGTTTCCCTTGAAAAAGGTGCCGGATCTAAACTCTACCAGATCTAGCATCTAAAACGATTTCTGTGATGTTTTGAGAGAGAACATTTACTCACTTATCCTCTCGGCATTCATGAGCATTTAAAAAAACTTTTGACAACCATTTGCAGTGGCAGGGACTAATTGGGGAAATTTGAGCCGCTAACAGCCAGAAATCCAAGATGCGTGTGTGAGCGATCTGTTTTTTGAGCGTTTCCAAAAAGAAAAACTGAATAAAATTGATAAGAACACGCACGCACGAAAACCACAAAACCACGAGCTAGTTTCACATATTTCTTTTGCCTGCACTTTGACACTGCACAAGAAAACAGTGAAACAAGCCAATTCCCCGGGGAAGTGTGCCAATTTCCCGGGTTCTGGTGCTATGCGTAATCTTGCAAATAATTCGGCATATACATCATCTACATATAGCACCCTGGAAGCATCTTTCTATCCCCACAGTAGTATACAGTATACACATTGGGAACCCCGATGACAAGACCCCAGTAGATAGATTCCGCTATAGACAACATATAAACAAAAGCACCCCAGTAGGCAGAAGTGTCCCTCAAAATCTGCTATTTTGGGGGTACTTAAGTGTACCCAATCTGCTCACTAGGTCATCAGTGCGGATCCTGCCTACTGCGCGTCCCGTACTTGACATATATATATATATATATATTTATTTATTTATTTAAATATAATTATATGTTTGAATATAGACACACACACATATATATATATATGTGGGTGTGTCTTTATATATATATATAATATATATGTAATATATATATATATATATATTGAATATATATATATATATATTGAATATATATATATATGGGTGTCTATATATATATATTGAATATATATATATATATATTATATATATGTACAATGGCATGCTCAGAGAGATTAACATCTCCATAACTACGAACTATTTTGATGTGAACACCGGTTTTTTGATGGAATTTTGAAGAACTCATAATCGTAAACATATGTAATTCGTGCGCCCACTGCTTTCAGGATGGAATGTGTTATTGGCCGGCAATGATATGACGACATGTTTGAGCTGTGTGCTCATGGTGGTTCCCCTGCACATCTTTGCTTGGAAGATGGGCTGCTGCTTGGCATGTGGAGAGGTGAGACTCTTTGCTACTAAAACATGGATTTTTGGAACATACCCCATGTATTTCGATGATTTTCCCATTCAAATACCACCTGTTTTTGCTGACTTCAGAGTTTTTGAAGTGATCATGAAACGGGTTTCGTCGTGTCCCTTAAAAAAAAAAAACACTGTCAACCGTCCCCCCAACTCACACAGACCCTGCAAATTCATATCAAATATGGTACTGTAAATTCCCTACGCACAAAAAAAAACTAGAATTGAAACCACCATTGTTGGTCACACTATGGTGAATAACATCCAAGTTCACCCTAATCGGGATATAAGTTGATAATTATAAGCCCTTTTTCCCATGGTTATACATCCACTTTGCGTATGTTGCTTGGGGTGACAATGTCCCAACATACGGATGTCCCATCTCAGGTTATTTCACCACAGGAAGCGCCCTGAGGCGCTGCCGATGCACCAGCGAGGCGCTTGAAAAACATGAGTGGGGTGGACAAAACCAGGGTAAACCTTTGAAAAATGAGAGTTCGTAGTGATTTAATGGGAATTGATGGTGATTAATCGGAAGTACCCAGGTTAGAAATAATTGGTAGATGGAATTACTGATAATTAGCAATGATAATGGTAAAAAATAGATGTGGGGATCTGCATGGAATATGAACGGGATAATATTCATCGGATAATATTGATGAAAAGGAAACGTACAGAAAAATGTGGGAAATCACCCATTTAATAATAGGTAAATCATCATGTTGATCATCTATTTTACTAAAAGCAATTTTCTAAAGTCATCTTAAATAAACCACATAGATGTGAAAAAAACATGTTTTCCGGTTCAAATAATAATTTACTGATGTTGGGTTTTCCACATCTATGTTAGCTTACCTTGGGGTACCAGAGACATGGTTGGGTATTGATTTAATCTATGCCACAATGGGCAATTCATATTCAATTTGACCACTTATAGTTGGGATTTCAACATGTAAGTACTCCTCAAAGATGATGAGTTAGCTTGGGATAAACTAGCACAGATATGGAAAGCCCATGGTTTCCGGAGGAAAGATGATAGTCCCAACTGCCGAAGACCTTGTGGTGTCATTGCAATTGTGCTGGAAATTTGAAATGGTTAGTTATTACAAAGTGTTCTACCCTCTGGTAAACTAACATAACTTGGGAAATCACCATGCTATTAATGGGTATATCAACTATTTCTATGGCCATTTTTCATAGCTATGTTAGCTTACCAGAGGGTATTACTTGTTTCATTGCAGATTTGTTGGAAAATCCCATGCGGATCTACGATATGGCGCTCTGCGATATGGGAATATGCAATCACCTCGCCGCCTCACCGTGATGTTCAATACTTCAAAAATCTCATCCCGTTAATATTTCAACACCCCCTAGAAACATCTAGAAATCATGGTTTAGTAGGCGGGGTTCCACATATTTGGGACCATTTAGGGCTGGTTAATATGCGAAGGATTGGATTCAAGGAAAGCATTTAAGAAATGGGTTCTTTTGTTTTTCTGATTTTTTGAGTCACAGTACACTCTTCTTTGCTCGGATAATGGTGGATGGATTTCCTGGTGTTGATATTTGACTGGCCATAGGGGCCAGTCAAGCAACAGGAAAAGCTGCCTCTAAAAGAAGGTTAAATAGTAGGAAGGGCCCAGACCAAAGTGTCCCTAATTATCCCCATTTCATGTCAGAGATCATTCCAATGTTGGATTTAGCTATATAGAGATGTTCATTACTTCAATTGTTGGTCACTAAACGACCATCACAAACAGATTCTGTCAAACCCAACCTGCTGCAGACTTGTTGCTTCTGCGATTATGAGACCCAATTACAACTTTGGAGTTCTGACCCATCATATCCAGCACAACATCACAACCCTCCATGCCAAATTTCCATGGAAAATGAAGAATTGTAACCCCACTTTGATTGTCGCCGTGGTTTTTCAGGATGGTTTTGCAGGGAAAAGTCAACCAGTCGAAAATCCTTTTCCAGGCGTAAATCTTTTTTTGGTCGGTTGGTGCCATGTTTCGAGGTGCTCGGACCTTTGTTTTGGAGCAGTATAGTGCATCTCGGCCCGCGCTGGGCATGTCAGCATGGCCCATGGGATGGAGCAATGGCTCTGCGAAAAAGTCTGATGATGTTTGTTTAAAGTCCAACCAGCAATGGACATGATTGATATATGGTTAATATATGGTTAATATTCTATAGATATTGTGAATGATTGGAATGATGATGGTTTGGAGATAATTGAGTAAAAATTAGTGTGCTGAAGCCATCTGATATCCAACTTGGAGATTATCATAATGGACTATTGACCAACGAGTGATGGAATGACAGAGTGTGTCAAACAATGCTCAAATGACTAACAAGTTTGGGATAGGTTCAAACACAAACCCCTTTGCCAATGAATATTCATAATGATGTTATTGGTGGAAGTCATGATAAATAATCTCAAAAAATGCCAATGTTTCAGGTGTGTGAAATGGAATCTTGACCCAGCATCATTGGACTGGTTTTGTGAAATTGTACAAGAACCCATGGTTTCCAGAAAGCGGAAAATGATGTTTTTTGCCTATACAATGTGTTCTTTTCCTTCATCTAATACTTCTGGGGCAGACTGGGTGTGTCTGTTATTGGTACTGTAAAATTTCACACAAATCCCGGTCCCAGTATCAACTTGTTGGGTATATCCCCGATATTTTCCCCATGATATATCCATATCCCATCCCTAATAAACCAGGTAATAGCTCAACAAAACCCCCATCATCTCCCCAATTCTTCCCATTACAGAAACATTATATCCTCAGATTCAAATATCAAAATTGTTGGTTGTAAATTGTCAACCCATCATATCTCCATACTGTGGTAAACCCAATAATAAACCACCCCCAACAACAACATCACCCGAAATGGTGGGTTAAACCCCAAATGGTGGGTTCATGATAGGGTTACCCACATGAATCCCCCCCACAGAGGTTTTTCTCTTGTCTCACCTTCTTCTGGGTGCGCTATGTCGATGCTATGGATCAGGATGAGGACCGGACCTGGGAGTTGTTGGGAGTTGGGCTCTTGTGGTGGTGCTCAAAGTGAACATTTCTGACTACGTATATATTATTTTATTTATATATATATAATAACGTATATATATATATATATGTATACATAATGTATAGAATGATATCATATCAACATAGGTCTTGAACACATCTAAATACATCTCAATGTTGGGACCCAAATTCAGCTGGCGACCAAAGCCCGGACAGCCACGATGCAGCCACAGCCTGACTGTGTCATTGACCTCAGCATTTGCGTCGTCCATTTGCCCTCTGGTAAACCAACGAGTTGCTATGGAAAGTCACCATGTTTAATAGGTAAATCATCGAACTAAATGAACCATGTTCCATAGATTGGTTAGTTTACTAGAGGATATATCAATTTGATGGGTGTGAGCTAATGATCACAGCCTGCATGATGCATAAAAACCAACATGTGTCAACGTGTTTCAACATGTTTCGAATAGTTTCCAAACATGGGTTGTTTTCCTATCTATCGGGAGATCAATCCATATGGATTTACATAGCCATTGGTCTAGGATTCCCATGATATGGGATGGATGACCATACCCATAGGATCCATGTATGCTATATATGGTAACATTTACCATCAATATACCATACATGGATCCTATGGGATAAACCACATACCATCTTTGACGAGAATCCTCAGCCTGAGGTCTGGTCCTATGGTGGGGTCGAGCTGCCTTCGGCAGCTCACTTATTTGTGGCACGGCCAGGATGTGGTGATGTGGTGATGTGGTGATGGGCGCTTGAGAGAAGTTTCACTATTAAAAGATACTGTTGATAGGTGGTTTATCCATGTTTATCCATGTGTTATCCATGTGTTATATATCCATATTTATCCCATTCTTTATGGGGTTCACCATCCTTTTGGTGCAGGATTATGCAGCCCACGGTACCAACCTGGCGCGATGCACCGAGGTTTGCTGCCTGGGCCTCTTTGCGGTTCTCTTTCAGCCCGGCGAACATGGCAAGGGCAGTCTTTCACAAGGCCGGTCGCCGCTGAAGCGATGGCTCACGTCACTTAGATTAGCGAATGGTGCTTAGTTGGGCCCCCCAAAAGCGATGTCAGTATTTGGGCGATGGCGAAGTGAATTCTGGAGTTATGTCATGATTATGATATCGCTGATGTGTACGTTTGCATGCTGCACATCTGGACGATTCTAGACTACCCTCTAGTAAACTAACATAAGTGTGGAAAATCGCTATTTTTAATGGGTAAATTAACTATAAATAGCAATTTTTCAATAGCTATGTTAAATTACCAGAGGGTACCATTTGATGATTGGGGTTCCCCTGACTTTACAGATGAGAGATATATGGCCAGCCAATTCTTCGGCCAACTCTTGGGTTTAATGTGCAAAAGTCATGGTATATAGTCATGTGTTTCCTCTTACATCAAACAACGTCATTCTACAAATCAGTGAGACCAATCTATTTTAATATGTTTAATATCCAAATCTATCCAAATCAATCTCGGATTACTCGATTAGTCCCCAACTCCAACTCCAATGAAATCCCCAATCCCCATGAAATCCGATAAATATCTCATAAAAAAAACACATAAAACAACCATAAAGTCCCCATAGAATTCATGTTCGACCACGGTTTGAAAACCGTAGTCGCTGTCAGTCGCGGCCTCCTATCCCTCGATGAAGCTGCTGCGCTATATCTTCTGGTCGTCGGTGATGACGGTCAAGGCGGCAAATGACAGGGAAAAAGCAATGGAAAAACCAAGGAAAACCAGTGGAAAACTACCATGATTGGTAACTTTGTATTGAATTATTGGTTTACAGGGATGTTTTAGGGTTGATTAATTATTGGAAAAATATGGAAAACAACATAGTACCGGGGAAGCATTGGAAGAGCCAATCATAGACCTACCCGCATGTGGGTATGGATGGGTAGTTGCTTCTCTTTTCTAACGAGCATTTTTCATATTGCAATGCAAATTAGTGGGAAATGGATGGAAATTGTTGTTTTCAGTCCATTAACGACAAACCAATCAAGATGTGAAAACATAGGAACACCCAAGAATAAACATATCAATATGGGTATGAATGCTTGGTTTTCAACAGCAGTTAGCATTGTTAACCAACCATTATTTAAGAATATGGGATAATATCTCGGGGCATCCCCATTGGGGGATATTGTAAAATTTGAGATGTAGTGGGGGCAGCAATACTGAGGGATAGAATGAAATATCAGCAGCAATATCAGGTGCCTTTGAGTTTTTCCAGGATATATGATGTGGCTTTGTCTAAAGATGGTGATGTCATGTGATGTACCCTCTGGTAATTCAACGTAACTATGGAAAATCACCATGTTTATGGGAAAACTCGCTATAAATGGCCATTTTCAATAGCTATGTTAAATTACCAGAGGGTACCAACTGCCCAATATTGTATCAATCAGTTATGAGATCCGGGGTACCATATGTTCAGTCCAGCCCCCCTTTTACGGATTGGTGAATATGAAAAGCCTCTGATTCTCATGGTATGGAAATGCCATGGTATGAGGATAACACACCATTCCATTGTAATATATATATATTCAATATATCCATTTTTTTGCTTATGGAAGCCATGTGTTCACCCGATGATTTTTGAGAACTTGATGATTGGCTCGTATCTTGACCGGAATCCAGCCACAGCCGCCAGAGGCAAACCAGGGGATTCCATATGTATTCTCATGGGTTGAAGGGGACTCCGTGAAATGTCAATGTCTATGGCTAATTACAATCTGTCTCCATATGTTGACTGGCTGGTGGTTTGCAACATTTGGATTTTTTTTCCCATCATATTGGCAATTTCATCATCCCAGCTTACGAAGTCATATTTTTCAGAGGGGTAGGGCTCAACCACCACCCAGTTGATATCCGGATCCTTTGGGGTCAAGACTCGCCACAATGACACAAAGGATCCATGCTATCCCCCAACGCCATGGGTTATCGATATATTTTGATAGATCATGTTGTATCCACGTATATTGGTTGGTTGTATATCGATATATTGGGAATAATCATCCCAACTGACTTTCATATTTTTCAGAGGGGTAGGTATACCACCAACTAGATATTATCTATATATTGTCAATATATATATATACATGTATTTGTATATCCCACTATTGTTAGTTATATCATGAAATATCTCCATGACATCTCCAGAATTTCCCACAAGTTCCCAACTATCGTTAGTTGGTGATATAAGTTACATCTCTCCATAAAATCCGGATAAAATCCATCATGTGCCCAGGCGATACCCACACACATCCTCAACATCCATACCCCAGGTCTAGGTCTATGTAAATATAATGATATAGAGTAGTTCAATATATATATATATAATATGAATATAGAATGTAGAGATATAATTTGATAGAAATGTGATTATTGATATAATTGTTTAGAAAATGCAGATAGATCATTTGGAACATATAATATTTATATATATATATTACATATCTAACAGATATAATATACATACTATATATATACACAGTATACATGACACAATATAATGTATATATATATATACATATTTAAACTATATACATGTAATTCTTCTCCATCCACTGTCCAAGCCATGAAGCTCAGGTCTTAGTCAGCTACAATGGTGTTTGGGCCGTCGAGACCGCGATGCGAGAGTTGAAGAAGGCCCGCTAACCGGCGAAGCAACGTGGAACCATGGGGATTGAAGCTTGAGAAAAATGGGAAAGTGATGGAAATTGTGGATTTAATCATACCCATAGGATCCATGTATGGTATATATGCTAACATTTGGGGTACATTGATGGGATCCATGTTACCATATATAGCAGCACCATGGATCCTATGGGATAGTTCATCGGCATTTTTTTAAACTATAAAGATGTGGATTTGACTCACACTAACTGCTAGTTAGGTTTAAAGACATATGTGCTCAATCAGACTCAATCAGTAAAATGGGTGCCGTAGCACTTTAACGCCCAATAAACTACACTTGGTTGATGATGTCTTTTTGGGGGTTGTTCCGAAAGCTTGGTTAATTGGTTATTTGAGATTTGGATTTGAGAAGAATATCTGGGTAGTGTTTAACCTCAAGAATATGGGGATAATCCTTTCCCCCCTTTACTAAATTACCTAAGGTGTTTATTATTTGGGGAGGGGGGTGGGGGACGTTTAGTATTAGGGGGAAGGGAGAATTGAAAAAATATAGCAAGTTGATGATGAGTTTGAGGGTCTTTCACCTGCTCTTTCTAGTACTAAACCGGGTACTTATTGTATTATCCTAGTTCATGAGGTGGACATGCCCATGATTTTCAGCTACGTGGTTTTTCGCAGTGCTAATGGGACGAAAATGTTGAGTTGATGGATGTTTTCTAGGGCATTGATCAAATGTGTTTGGATGTACCCTCTCCCCAACCAAGCAACTAAGATAGACCCTGAGAATCAGTCGTTTTCTGAGGCAAGGAATCCTACAATCAACGGCTGGAACCCTTGAAAATGGGGAGGATGTTTTGCCATTTGATATCACCCATTTTTGGGGCTGTTCAAAAGTACGTGTCGTAACGGCCTGTCTGGCAGGCTGCCTGACTTGCAAGAAATCAACCAGGGCTGAAGCACATCCATAGCACGGTCCATTCGGCATCGGTTGGATTCCGGGTGCTTCCAACAAGAATTCACTGCCTGGTTGTTGGCTCCCCTTGAAAGTGACACCACTTTCATACTTTCAACATGACAGAAATTCATGATACTACTCATATCAACCAACCAACACCATTAAATTAACAAAAAAAACAAGATACGACACCCACTTCCCAAGTTGACACACAACAATCACCCAAAACTAGGAAATTTCAGAGTTCCCCACATTTTTCCCACATTTTTCCCGCGTCCCCAGATGAGTCGTCCCGGCCGTGAAAGCCTGGACGACCTACCGAAGTTCGCCTTTGGACCCAACTGGGACAATGCGGATTCCAGATGTGGCCATGTGTGAACACAAGAAACTGAGAGCTATGAAGTGAAATTCGATGAATTTTCTTTGTAGATCTTTGTAGTTTATGGGTTTATATAATATATATACATATATAGAGTTCATGGTTCATAATTGAAGTATATAGATCTGGGATGATATGGGTGTTTATCTGAACATGGGAAAAACATTGAAAAATCAATGTTGAAGCATTATTTTAGCAATTAAGATTCTCGATTGGTGGGTATCTCCCATTTTCAGACAACCGGAACAGTGTTTTCATGAGGAGTATCGAGAAAATTGAAGTTTGAGTCTTTCCCGTGGCAGGACATGATTCAGTGGCTTGCAATTTGGGGCACTTCTTTCGTGTGCTTCCTGGTGCCTGGGCTGGTCCCAAAAAGGGATTGGTTCAATGGAGAAAACCGGAAAAACCGGAAACCATCGATATTTTCCCCCTCCTGTTTTCCTGTTAAAATGTTCCCTTAAATCAATCCATTGATGTATGATACCCTCTGGTAAACTAACAGAGCTATGGAAAATCACCATTTATAGTGGAATTTCCCATTAAAAATGGTGATTTTCCATAGTTATGTTAGTTTACCAGAGGGTAAACCAATCCATTGATGTATGATAAGTCTTTGGCTCAATCATTTAGAGCCGTTGTTTTTGATTCGGGCGGCCAGTATCAAACTTGGTGACCTCTAGCTGTTGCCAAATCTAAGCCAGTGGCCCTGAGGTATGGCTGAAAAGTCCCGGGCTTACCTGGCAAAAAAGGGAACCATCAACAGAATATCTGGTTGGTGGTTTCAAACATTTGTTTATTTCCATTTCATACATGGGATAATCCTTCCCATTGACTAATATTTTTCAAGATGGCTAAAACCACCAACCAGAATATTATTGGGAATGTATCTTCAGTATTGGTGATATCTCAACTTTATTGTTGCTACTTCCAATGATCCCCAATTGGGCTGGTGATTTCCCAGCAACTATTGGAGGTACCAGGTATCTATCCATCCACAGGTTGGCAGTTTCAGGCGTTTCCTAGGTTGGTTCCTACGAAACAATTGGATTCTTCCATGCGCTTGTTTCCTAGATGGATAAAGACATGGTTTTCTTCAAACAAATTAATGGGCCCTTAGTTTTTCTTTGAAAGATAAAATCATACATATGTATATATATATATACATACACAAAATTACACCTATTTACACATACATATGTTTTCTCTACATTTCCATGATCCATGTTTTCCCTTCAAATGATTCCACATATGGTTTCCTGATGTCTCACTGGTGGTTTCCCCAGGCGGATACCCAGTTCTGGTTCGTGGTGGGTTGCACCGTCTTGGGGTTCTTCCTGGGCTGTGCTGAACGCGGCTGGTGTGCCTTGGTCCCAAGCCATTTGAAACATGGTTGGGTCGGAGAAAAGATCTGAACATGTGGGAAAAAGATGGAAAAAAACACCGAAACCTGTTGAGGAGAATAGTTTTTTAAGAATTAGAATTAGAATGTTGATGGCATTTTATGGCCTGTTTATGGCCACAATTCATAGGTATTGATAGGTGATATAACATGGTTTTGTTTTTATTTTTCAAGTGAACAAAACCATTCGTTGGGGAGTCATTCCAATTGTCCAACGCAACGTTTCTCCCGTTTCAAACTTTACCAGACATCCCGATGCGATCATTTCAGTGATGCGCCGACAAAATTTTGCAATATATACTGTATCCACAAGTTGTCGTGGGTAAAATAGCCCGGCATTGGTGCTGAAAACGTCCCACTTTATTTCCTGAAGGTTCCTATATTTGCTTAATTTCACTGTTTGATACAACTACATTTCAGTAGCCATCCCATTTGCACCATGTTTTTTGCGATCACTCATCTCATACTCCCACCTCTCAGTATTTAAGTTTCACATTCACGATCAAAATGATCATATGAACTTTAGACGTCCAAAAAAACACAAACCCAGACCGTTTTTTTCCCCACCTGCCAGGTGAGGGTTGTTAGATTTTATGTCAGTTGCCTGCTCCTCCTCTCCTCTCCTCTCCTCGTCTCCTCTCCTCCTCTCCTCTCCTCCTCCTCCTGCTCAACCGCGACCCTCGACGCACAGTGGTCTCTGTCGGACCTCAACCACGACCATCCACGCCCAGTGTTCCCTGCCGGACCTCAACCACGACCATCACCGCCAGTGTTCCCTGCCGGACCTCAACCGCGGGTATCCCCGCCCAGTGTTCCCTGCCGCACCTCAACCACGACCATCCACGCCCAGTGTTCCCTGCCGGACCTCAACCGCGAGTATCCATGCCAAGTGCTCCCTGCCGGACCTCAACCGCGAGTATCCACGCCAAAAGATATGCCACATAGAGTGCCAGAAGATATGCCAGATAGAATGTTAGAAGATATGCCAGATAGAATGCCAGAAGGTATGCCAAATAGAATGCCAGATAGAATGTCAGCTAGAATGCCAGAAGATATGCCAGATAAAGTGCCAGAATGTTTGCCAGATAGAATGCCAGCAGATTTGCCAGATAATATGCCAGAAGATATGCTAGATAGAATGCCAGATGGAATGCCAGAAGATTTGCCAGATAGTATGCCAGAAGATATGCCAGATAGAATGCCAGATGGAATGCCAGAAGATATGCCAGAACATATGCCAGAAGATATGCCAGAAGATATGCCCTACCTACCCACTTAGTAAAAGAAAACGCCGGTGGGGTTCATTTTTTGGAAAATCTTTTTTTTCAAGGGTTTCCCATCCGGCGGTGCTATCCGCTGCAGTTTTAACACCAGGTTCCGGGCAAGGTCAGGGCCCAAAAGACCAATCATTGGATTCAACTGGCTTTAAAAAGTAAGCAAAACAAACAAAGCCAAAATCAGGCCACAATGTTGATGCTACGGCCAGGCTACGGCATGTCTCAAAAGCGCAACCGATTGTGTAAGCTGTGTATAGGTGCAAAGCTTATTAGCATTTAGCTGCATTTAGCTGCACGAAAAGCCCTACAGATGCCCTAACGTTGCCCTAGCGTCGCCCTAACTTCACACTTGGGCAAACGGGACGGCCGGAGGTATATTAAAAACATAAAAGCTGGTTCACATTTTAGGTTTTGCCACCTTGATCCATCGCAATCTGATCCCGTTGTAGCGGATAGGCGCAAAGCTTTTTCAATTAGCTTCAAAATGGTTGATTTAAGCTTCCAAATCGTCGATTTTAGCTTCAAAATCGTCGATTCTAGCTTCACACGGTGCTAGGGCGACGTTAGGGCGACATTAGGGCGTCTGTAGGGCCTTTCCTGCAGCTAAATGCCGCATCACATGATGTGGCAATCCTCCAGGGGCCAACAACAGGGCACAACCGACCAGATTGTTTTTTCTTGTACCCAGCTTGTACTTTATTCTTTCCAGAGGCTATTCCTTTTCATTCCTGTTCATTTTTCTTTTTTGTTTTGGGACTTACAAACCTTAAACACAATGAAATGCATAGAAGATTTCTTTCGCATTCCTATGCGTTTCATTGCTTTTAAGGTCTGTGAGTCCCAAGACATGATGGAAAAATGAAAAGGAATAGCTCTGGAAAGAAAAAGGTACGGAAACCTGTAGAAATGATCCACGGACGGTCCCATTGCTTAGGGCCGGAGGCCCTAAGCGATGGAGAGGCCCCCAGAGCGAGAAACAAGCATGTCTCTTGCTCTGGGAAGCGTCCCATTGCTACAACGGGATCAGATTGCGATGGATCAAGGTGGCAAAACCTAAAATGTGAACCAGCTTTTATGTTTTTAATATACCTCCGGCCGTCCCGTTTGCCCAAGTGTTGAGACACGGTACGCAACATGAAGTGGGAATATTGATATATGGATGGCACCAAAGGTGCTTATTACCCACCGCAGTGCCAGGTTGAAGCCTGAGAAAGCTTTCCAGTCCCAGGTAAAACCCTGCCCTGACCATGCGGCTGTGCACCCTATAAAAATGGCGCGATGCACTGTTTAGGCTTGTTTAGGCATTCTTGGTCTCCAAAGCCAGGATCAGGATTGGACAGGAGTAGGCAACCCCACCTTAAAAAGGAAAATGGAAAGGTCCCCCCCACATACCCTAAGGGGTCCCTAGGATATGCCAGAACATCTGCCAGAAGATATGCCAGAACATCTGCCAGAAGATATGCCAGGTAGAATGCCAGAAGATATGCCAGATAGAATGCCAGAAAATATGTCAGATAGAATGCCAGAAGATTTGCCAGTAACAAAATGTATAAATGTCATGGTGGGGATCACACGAAGTAAAGTAATTTCTCCATATCATCAATCCACATAATCCACTAGATCAAATATCATCCATCATCCATGTCATCATCCCCAGGTTTTTTTTGGCTCCACCCATTTTTTTGGGGTATCCCCACCAGTCCCCCGTTGCCTCCGTGGCCGAGACCTGAAGAGCTTCGTCTCGGAGGACGCCTTGGCGAAGGTGGCGAAGCGCTTCTCGCGCCGCGTGGCGCTGAGCCAATGGGACCCCGACGTCGTGGCACGGAACTTGCTGCTGGAGAAGGACGGGGGACACCGTGACACCACACCGGGGACGGCCTTTGGGGCCGATGTGGACCGGTTGACCTGAAAGGGAGAGAAAAGAAGGGTTAGGTAAAGACTGAAACTGGAGATTTGATCAGGTTAATATGTGTTAATATATAGATTAATTGTGTGTGTGTAGTTTGAGAAGTGAATATATGTTTGATGAATGTTGATAGGTGTGTTTTAATGTGTTTTACTTTTTCCGGGGAGCTGATATGATTACAATTCTATGATATTTGCCACAACAAACATATTGTTTGCGGGGTATCTCAGACTAGCGGTAACTACGGATTCAATGATAAATTATTGAAGAAACATGAAGATGAGGATATTGTAATTAGAAGGGAATTTCAGCAGGTTTCAGCATACATGTGGGGTTCAAAGCAGCATGAATGGAGAATTTAATACGTGGTCAAATGAGGACCACAGGCGGCGGTAAGCAAAGTGAAATAGAAATTTGGCATTATTTAGCCACTAGGAAATAAGGATATAGTAAACAGTACTGTGTAGCCCTTGGGTAGCACCCCTACTTGGTGGTCGGTTTTTAGATAGAATACATGTAAATACTTATAGCACTTGACCTACTTACACAAACTTACAAGTTAACTTAGGAAACTTAACTTTTTAATTGTAGCTCTAAGTAACATAAGTTAAATATAAGTAACTTGCAAGTTTTTTAAGTTATTTTAAGTTATTTTGAACATGAAAGGAGAGGTATTTTAGCAGTTTTTTTCTTCATCATTGCGTTTTGCATTTTTATTTTTTGTGTTGTAGAAACCTTTGTTTCGTAAGTTTTCTTCGAATTTCTTTGCTGCACTTGAAAATTTGATGATGTTTTTAAACGTTGGGTTGGACAATCTTAATTTGGAAAAAAATAAAAATGAGAGAGTTGCTGCCCAAAGGACCGCAGGATAGAACATCCACGGATGACCAAAGGCGTGCGACGTGTCATTCTAATTCGGTTTGGTTTCATATCATATGATGTCATTGTACGAAAGCATGAACCAAAAAGACCACAATATACCTGAATGTGTATGGATGTGTATGGATGTGTAAGGATGTGTAAGAATGTGTAAGTCAAAAAAAAATCCACTTACACATGTGTAAACCAAAAAAAATCCACTTACACATGTGTAAACCCCAAAAAAATCCACTTACACATGTGTAAACCCAAAAAAAATCCACTTACACATGTGTAAAAATGTGTAAAAATGTGTAAAAATGTGTAAAAATGTGTAAAAAATGTGTAAAAATGTGTTTTGCATTTTCTGTTTTTTGCAAAATATGATATGCCTTTGCTGTCATATACGCATTTTCTCTCAGGCCTCAGTCAAGATCAAAACAGGGGCTGTGGCCTCATGATCTTTCCAAGGGCCCGAACGCTTTTTACTTCGTATCCATCCTGTTGTCCAAACGAGAAGAGGACAAGATATCAACAAAAAAACTCAGAATCACAAAACTTTTCCCGATAGGCTTCTCATAGAGCCGCCTTCCGACAAAAATATCAAAAAATAAAAAATGTGGTTTTAATTCGTTTCCAACCCAAACCTTGTTTTTTATATGTTTTTATTCCAACACAAAAAATAATAGCTTTAAAAATCCAAAAAAGTTAAGTTTCCTAAGTTACTTATAAGTTATTTAAGTTGTTTTTTGTTAACTCAAAACAAAATAACTTAAAAAAACTTACCATCTAGTTTATCTTTGGTAACTACTTACAACTACCGTAAAATAAGATACAAACTTAGTTTACTTAGCTTAGATACACTAGGGTTGTAACTACCTTACAACTAGGTTACAAGTTACTTGCAAGTGCTGTAAACCAAAACCGACCACCAAGTAGTGAATGTTCGCTGAATTGGTTCCTGTCCAGAAACAAGAGGAGAATATTCTGCTAGTGGTACCCGATTGCATGCGAAGAGTATGAACTTGCATGAGAATTCCAAGTGTTATTTTTTAGCGAGCAGCAGAGCTTCAGATACGTTCAACTTCTCCAGAAACAGTTAAACAACGACAACTATTCAGAGGATAATTCAAGGATCCTAAAATGGAGATACTGTGTAATGTAAGGCCATATTTTGTGGGGATATTCCCTTACATGGCCTGAAAAATAGGCCTTATATTATGGGATTGGTACCTCCAATCAATCGGATCCTGAGTCATGGCCATCAAGGTCATCCTAGGTCATTGTCGCCAGGCCTCAATCGACCTAAAGGCAGAGGACCAGGATTACATCCCCAAAGAAAGTGCAGAGAACTGGACCATGTCCAAGTCGATCGCCAAGATGTTGGTGGAATATCTGGAAAAGATGAGCTGGAGATTAGTGACATGTTCATGTGATATAAATGTGATCATATGCGAAAAACATCTTGGCGATTTGGGTTTTAAGATGGGGTGTATACATAATAAATTCGCCATGAAAAATTTGCAGGAGCTGACGATGAACCATTGGATTTGGGGCAGAAAACTCCAGGAGTTCCATCGAATATTCCCATGGATTTTCTCAGCCAAATTAGCCTCCATTTAAAGATTGTTCGGGAATTTTGCCATTGGTTTTTCGGCTAGAACGGCTCGTCATCCTGCTGCCCGCGATGGGATGTAGGGAAATTGATGAGGATCTGAGATTCTGGGATGTAGGAAATCCATGGAAATCCCCAGTCCAGGGATGGAAATGCAAAATTTTACAGGAAAAACAATCCACAATGATCATCCTTGCTGTTCTATCTTTGGGAAGTTACATGAAGTTGACCAATGCGTCATTAGACCAATGGATCAACCAACTTGGCAGCTTTTCTTTTCAATGGAGAAGTCATGGCTAAACCCTTCAGGGGATGATCATGAGAAGTTCCATCACCTTTTTTTTTTCGGTGGCTTAAAATTGGGGATGATCAAAATAACTGTTGGCAAGCAGTTTTTTTAATGAATAGTTGTTTTATGATCATAAAACAACTATAGCTATTTTCACTGATTAACCCAAATTAATCTGGTTAATGGATGTTAATGGTTAATGGTTAAATCTGGTTAAATAATTGGTTAAATCTGGTTCATGGTTAATGTGGTTGTTGGCGAACATGTTTTTTGAGGCCCAGCTTAACCACATTTAACCACATTTAACCACCAACCAGGTCCCTCCCTTGGAGCCTCCGCCGAGGTTTTTCCCGCCTTTGTGGGTGCCCTGACGGCAGATGGGTCGTTCCATGTCGTTCCTATGTTTGGGGTTCAACAAATTATCTCGGAACCCCCAAGTCTCTGGAGAGTCTGACATTATGTTGGCCTGTGGTCTGTAGTCTTTTATGTTTTTTGAATGATTCTATTCTATTGGTTTGGATGTATAGTTGTTTCATGAATAAAGCTTCTGCTGCTAGTTATATGAGACGCGAGCGTGTTACCATGTGTTTGTTAATTTATTGCATAGGAAACATGAATGTTAATTCCCCACCTGCCAGGTGAGGGTTGTTAGATTTTATCTAAGTTGCCTGGTCCTCCTCCTCCTCCTCCTGCCGCCTCCTCCTCCTCCTGCCGCCTCCTCCTCCTCCTCCTCCTCTCGTTGTCCTCCTCGTCCTCCTGCTCAACTGCGACTCGCGATCCACAGTGTTCGCTGTCGGACCTCAACCACGACCATCCACGCTCAGTGTTCCCTGCCGGACCTCAACCACGACCATCCACGCCCAGTGTTCCCTGCCGGACCTCAACCACGCGCATCCACGCCCAGTGTTCCCTGCCGGACCTCAACCGCGACCATCCCCGCCCAGTGTTCCCTGCCGGACCTCAACCACGACCATCCACGCCCAGTGTTCCCTGCCGGACCTCAACCGCGAGTATCCACGCCAAGTGTTCCCTGCCGGACCTCATATAGGAAGATAAAATGTCAGATAGAGTGCCAGAAGATTTGCCAGGTAGAATGCCAGAAAATATGCCAGAAGATATGCCAGATAGATATGCCAGAAGATATTTCAGAAGATATGCCAGATAGAATGCCAGAAGATATGTCAGAATATATGCCAGAAGATATGCCAGATAGAATGCCAGATAGAATGCCAGAAGATATGTCAGATAGAATGCCAGAAGATATGCCAGATAGAATGCCAGAAGATTTGCCAGATAGAATGCCAGAAGATATGCCAGAACATCTGCCAGATAGAATGTCAGAAGATATGTCAGATAGAGTGTCAGAAGATGTGCCAGTAAGAACATGTATAAATGTCATGGTGGGGATCACACGAAGTAAAGTAATTAGCATTTTTCGACCCCCCTTCCCTCTACAATCCCTTGGATCCCTGGGAACAGAATTGAGAGTTATATCGAGTTTTCTCTCCACACCCTAGGCTGGATTTGTTTTTTCTAGCTACAAACCTCCTTTGAGTTTGGGAATGTCCAGAATATGGATGTACTATGGTCCAGTGCCCACCGAAGCTGTGGGACAAAGACCTCACTGGGGCGCCAAAATAAGTAACACCCCCCAAAAATGTTGATTTAATATGATTTGATAGAGTTACTCGATGTTTTAATGTGATTTGATAATATATATATATATATAATGCATAGCTACTCGTTAAACAGAAGCAAATTTGGTACCCTGGGCCTGGGGTAATCAGTTGGAAAATCCCTCCATGACATGATTGTTTTGATGATTTTCCCATACCTCCAATGTCTGGGGGACCCAAACAGCCCAGGATTTGATCATTGACATCATGCAATGCGAGGAGCGGCTTGGGTCCCATGGTTGGCAAACGGGACGCAACTTTGGGTAGAAATTGGTGGTGAATAACCAGTTGGTGCATGCTTGGTAAGAATCGTTTACGCAATGTTGATAAATGGCTTCAAATGTAGTAAATTTCCTCACGGAATGCTCGCCAAGAACACAAGAAACTAGGACTACCCTATTGAGCAGCAGTTGCAATTCAATAGAAGACGATTTGCGTTTCGAGCTACCCAGTGTGGCAAATGTCGGAAGCTTCCTATCCAAGCTGTCTGCAGAAGCGTTTGCGCGATACTGTGTAACCCGTGAGGATGGTTTTCGCAACTGGCAGGATTGAAACATCCACCCCTTTGCGGCAACACGGGCAGTTTTTTTCCCAGAAGACTGTGACAAAACCATTGCACTTTGCCACTTTGTACTTGCCAACTGTTATTAAAATTCAAGCACCAGCATGTGCCCTGTTTGAGCACCAGTTTGTGGGCATGGAGAAAGGACCCTAACAGGCCCTAACATGTCACCCCACTATCAAGATTTCTGATGCCTTGTGGGCCTCTGGACACATTTCAATGTCAACCCACCTGGGTTTGCCTGCAAATAGACCCCAAATGTTGATGGCATGTTGACGGCTATCATCATTTTCCCCACTAGAATTTGCTCAAATAATTAGCCAGACCCATTTGAATAATATCAAAGTCAGTTGTAAGCATCATCCTATTTTTAAGGCTTATGAATCACCAGCTACATCCACCTACCATTTGATATGCCCCAAAATCATCCGAGTTTTTGGGCCTTGTCCAAATCCTGGTGGCCGGGCGAACGCTGCTGGTAGGACAAGTTGGATCCTTCGGCCGCAGCGCAGCTGAAGTTCAGCGTCCCGGAGGAGGATGCAGCGCCGGCCGCGCCTGCAGAGGCCGAGCCTGCGGCGGAAGCGGCGGAGGCGGCGCAGGTGGATGCGGCGGTGCAGACCACGGCGACGGCGGCCGAACGTGTCAGCTGAGACTCGGCTGCGGTGCGATGTGGATCAAAAGCGAGTCGGACTCGGAGCTACTGGGGGGTATGCCTAGTTGCGGGGGTCGGGTGTTCAATTGCCCAAGTTCCTGTTGTTTTTCGATGGTCCTTTGGGGTTGATTGTTTGGTGCCTCATGCTGGATTAGCACAATGGGATTTTTGGGGATAGAGAGTAATCCTATATCATCCTGTATCCATCCATCATAAGTATAAGTGGGGGTTGGGATCAAATAACCGTAGGTGGTAATGTTAAGCCAAGAAAATATTCCCATTATCCATGGATGGTTTGGATGGTTTGTATTAGAATGTATTGTATACATTATCATGTGTTATATTTGTTTGCCATCATTTATAATCATGTCCAATTATATTCTGATTGTATCCCCATTGATATCTCCATTGTTTTCTCAATATATATATATAATTAGATATATATATATAATTATATATATATATACACACATATACTGCAATATATAGATATATATGGGTAAATTATAACGACCTCACTGTTCTCCCTCACTGGGAATCATGGTTAGGATTCGGGGAATCATCCCATGGCCGAACTATATCCCTACCTCGTTGGTGGTTTGGAACATTTTTCCATATATTGGGAATGTCATCTTCCCAACTGACTTTCATATTTTTTGGAGGGGTGGCTCAACCACCAACCAGCTACATATCCCCATTGTCGGTTAAATCGCATCTTTGTTGCCGCTGAGGTGCCAACGCTGAGCCATGGCGGGCCATGCGACAACTCTGCCAGCGGCGTCTTGGCGGAAACTGGCGCGTTGGCGAGGGATCTTGAGGGTATCATTGGTTTAATTATAGATGTCTATAGAATTTTTACAATAGATGTTTATAGAATTTTATGTCTGTTTTTGGATTTTTATAGATGTGTATAGATGTTCATAGGATGTTTATAGGATGTTATAGGTGTTTATAGCCCTTCTAAAAAAGATAGAAGTTAGATGAAGTTGGTAAAGTCCGATTCCAAGCCTGTGAATTCCTGTTCTATCTTTTGAGGTTTGCCCAAAGTGCTTCACCTTAAAGTCTCACTCAAGAGATCAGACTGGACTTGGCCCGTCCGGACTTGGTTTTTCACTCACTTTCAGGATGGTTTGGAGATGTTTGGACTTAATAGTGCGCAACATCGTTCAAAATCTCTAAGATACATGGGTAGTGGTCGAAAGTACCCCAATTGGGTTCGTTTACTATCACCACTGGCCACTTGGCTAGTCGTTCTGAAGAAATGTTGACCCATGACGCCACATTCTCCCACTTCATTCTCAGTTTGCAATGGTGCCAGTAGATGTGCAGATCTTTCCCTTCCGGTTCATTGGAGAATAGTAGATATAAATTGTTTTTTTCAGGTTTTGAACCATAGTAGAATATGATGTTTCTTCCGGTAGATTGCATGTGGGATAGGATAATTACCACAAAATCCCACGGTTCAAACTGCTTCAAACCTCATTTCTTAGATTTCACCAATGTCTTGTTCAAACATCCCCCATATTTTGCCATGGAAAACAAGAGATTGTCACCCGAACATGTCGCACAAACTAAGGAAGTTGAAGAAACCGGAGCAGGTGTGGATTCCTTCCATCTTCCAACGCAGGAACTATGGCCAGCTCTTCATTGAGCGGCACACAGGTGTGCACTTCTGGGATCAGATGGGTTTAAAAACCTGCTGGAGACCATGAGTTTACCAAGGAATTCATGGAATTTCACCAGTCAAACTGATGTGTTGTGCTGCTTTTTGTTTAAAGTTGTTTCCACCTCATTTGAGTGTTAATTGTGATTCTCATGTTTTTTGGATGGCTGGGCCACAGGGACATAAAGGACATAGACCATAGACAAGAGTTGTCACTTCCAAAACGGGAAATAGTTATGATATGTTATGATATTGGGATATATTGGGCAAGACCAGTACAAAGCTTTCAACCACTGCCAGAAAATGACCAGAAACATGAGGTGTGACTCCCAAAAAAATCATCAGAAAAACCATGTTTGGAATAAGATCATTGGATTTGTGTAACACAAAAATATGGATTTTCCCAAGTTGATGGTTTATTCATTCTGTCCCACCCTGAAATGGCTATGGGTTATGACATGGTTATGACATGGTTATGACATGGTTATGACATGGTTATGACATGGTTATGACGCAACTTTTCGTCGGAGGCATCATCCCCAGTGATTCCTGGCCTTCCAATTTGGAAGTGCAGTGGCGGCTGAACGCCCTGGCACGTGTTTTGGCATCACTTCGACAGGGAGATGAAAACCTTGGCGTAGGTGAACGGTTTTGGTAGGTTGATAGTTTTGTCATGGTACCGGTAGGTTGATAGATGATGTTTCATGAAATTTGAATCTTTGAGATGAGCCGGGAAAGATGGGAATTGGTTGATTAACCAGCCACCTAGACGAGATGATTTACCCAGCTGGGAATTTACCAACCTGTCGTCGTCCAAGATTGGCCGATCACGAAGCGGTGAAGCGGTGAATTCCATCCAAGGATCTGGAACATGGACGAAATATATACAATCCTGAAATTGGATCATAGATTTCCCCCCCAAAAGAAAGATGGAAAGGTCGTTCATCACTAGTTTCAGTATGATGTTATGATGTTACTAACTTCCATTTTTTGGGGAATCGCAGGAAAACATACTGCAAACTTTGTGAAAATCCCATGGCTTTCCCGAGGCAACTTGGGCTCCAGCCACCTTCCGCGGCCATACTTGACGCCGTATGTGCCAGGGATGACCGTCTCTTGGCAGCACCGGAAAGGACGGGCCGAATGAAGTTTGGTTGCCACAGCCTGGTGATCACATGTAGCGTGGAGATGGACCATGGGAGATCATGTAGTTGGAAAATTATGATGAACATTGATGAACTGCCTAGAGTCAAATCAAAACTACAACCCCGGTTGACATAGTGGCGATGGCGCCTGGTATACTCGATAAGGTCATTTTTCTCCGGATCATGGGCAAACTTGGGCTGGTTGGTGCTTTGGAACATGTTCTATTTTTCCATATATTGGGAATGTCATCATCCCAACTGACGAACTCATATTTTTCAGAGTGGTGGTTGAAACCACCAACCAGCTTCTGCCCAAATCACAATTCGACATCGCATTCCATGGGGCCATGGGGTGCACCCTGTGCTGTTTGAAAGCGAGGTGATGATCCCCCACTACGGCGAGCAAATTCTGATGGAGCCGAAGGATGTGTATCCGGATCACAGTCAGGAGAGCTGGTGCCGAAAAAGATAGTTAGTAATATACGGTGCCAAGAGAAAATGTGGCCAACATGTGGCAAAATGTGGCCAAAATGTGGCAAAATGTGGCCAACATGTGGCCAACATGTGGCCAACATGTGGCAGAGTTAACTTCACTTCGTTTCGATCTGTTTATGATTCTGCTGGTTACACCATGACGGAATGTCTCCAGGATGCAGTTCCCTTGATCGCTTGGTTGGAGAAGAGGCAGGGCTCGGTTGATCCGTTGGCGCCTTTGGGCAGATCATGGCCGTTGTGACTGCAAGGCTGAAAGGGTATGCCAAGATATCAGCAAAAACTGCATACAAGCTTTACCCTCCAGTAAATTAACATAGATAGATGGATGGATGGATGGATGGATGGATGGATGGATAGGTGGATAGATGGATAGATGGATAGATGGATAGATGGATAGATGGATAGATGGATAGATGGATAGATGGATAGATGGATAGATGGATAGATAGATAGATAGATAGATCAGATAGATCAGATTTACCAATTAAAAAATTGTAATGTTCCAGTTCACAAACTGTTGCATTACCAGAAACTGAATCTCATTAATTATATACATGTATATACCATTATAAAAGGGCTAACGCCCTGGTGCCGCCGACCCCCCTTAAAGGGAGGGGGCATGGATTGAGCTGGCTCAGAATATGAAACAACCAGAGCAATCACGACCAGCATTGGGCCCGTCCTTGGGCCCAGTGGAACGAAAAGTGCCAGACAGCAGTTTCAGACTCCTTGGGCCGGGCTGGCTTCAAGACCCGTAAAATAGATTCCTTGGACCAGGCCTTGGGCCGAGCGGCAGTTTCAAGCCCTGTAACAGATAGACTCCTCGGTCCCGGCCTTGCAGCGATGGAATTGTAAAGGGGTTAGCTCTGTCGCACACCCCCGCCTAGGCTACGGCTAGGCAGGGGCCGGCGGATATATATATATATATATATACATATACATTATAAATATATATAAATATATATATATATTATATATATATCTACACCATCATATTCCATTATATATACGCATTGCATTCCCATTTTTGAAGAATCAGCGTCCCGAAGCGTCAGAAATCACTTCGAATTGCGCGGGTGTCTTGGGAGGTACCATGAGGATTTTGTGGCTTTCACCAACCGAATGAAGTCGCAGTTCAATGATTGGCCCGACTATGGCACTAACTGGTGCCCAAGGCTTAAAGAAGGGGGATGTGTGGAAGTGGAAGCTGGTGGAAGGCTGCGTTGCCTGTTTGACCTAACATTGGGAAATGGATCAGCCATCAGCGATAGAAACAAGGCAGGTGCTGTATCGATTTGGAGTGCGTCCTTTGTTGTTGCTATACTTGCATGTTTCTATTCTTGGACAAAGCTTGGTTACGAGGTACCTGAGGTTGCCAAAATGGCAAGCTTGGTCAATTGGATTGGCCATCTCGGGTATGTGGCGCTTTCAACATCCCTTGAAAATATATAGCGACCCCCAAAAGGATAGGCGTTAGAATAGCAATTCATATTTTTTTAACCAGTGTTCAATTGAACCGGTTCTATGTCTTTTTTGGGTTGCTATAGCCTAGTTTCTGAATTTCACTGAGACCGCCGTTGTTTTTGCAGATCTTGCTCACCAAGGGCAGCCTACCAGCCCAAACACTGGAAGCACATTTGTGCCTTGGACCAGACCTGCTTGATGTTGCTCCTGACCAAGATGTTCGGGGACCAGCAGAGTTGTCCAGTTCCCATGAGGGGAATGCGACAAGACCCGATGATCATCTCAGAAATTGGTCCGATGTTCTCTTTTTTGGGGAGGAATACTAAAAAGTGGCAGGAAATCCAAGAAAAAATGTCATATTCCGTCATATTCCCATATATTCCCAACATCAGCTACCCACATTCGGTTTCAGGGACAAGGGTGGAGGCAGCACTGCCTAAACACCAATGAATTTGTGTCGAACACTCCTAGAAGTCTTGTTGAAAATCCTTCAAGTGTCCATTTGTGACGGATCTTATGCTGCTGTTTAAGTCCCAACTGTTCTGGTTCAATCCTCATCGTCCCCTCTGAGGATCCGAACTTTCATTAGATTTGAGGTTAAACCACCATTTTCACTGGGTGAATTTCAATTTTCCTTAGTTGGGCCGAATCCCCCAGGTGAATCCAAAAAGAACCACCGATTAGAATTGCCTGCTTTGGGGTATACCCATTGGGGGTTGGAATTTGCACTGCGGAATACGTTATCCCGGGATAGGTACAAAACAGCTCCAGACCGTAAACATGTACCTTGCACAAAAAATATGTATCCTGGACCTTGGATTTTGTACCAGAACCATGTTATCATCGTTAAAAAATGATCCTGGTTTGGCATTTTGTAGTGCTTCTATGTACGGGCAAAATTGTGGTTTCTTGGGGGCTTGGCATTTTGTAGGGCACCTCTTGGGGAATTGTTTGCATTTTGGAGATGATTTTTTGATTGCATTGGTTTTCATTGATGACAAAGGTTGCCAGGGAAATTACGAGATCTGCTCTAGAATGATCAACGCAGAGCTGCTTGCTTCACGGGCGGTTGCAAGAATCGCCCATAAGAAAACCCAATCACACCTTGAATAATCTCAGCTTTGTGGTTACAAGGAGCTCTGAGCATGGATTTGAACTTCTATTAAGCAAAAAGAGCACGAACCTAATTAGTAGAATTGGACCCACTTGGATTGTACTTACCAAAAAAGCAAGACAGCCAGCACAGCTCAGAGCTGTTTCCGCGATTGGTCAGAGCTATGGAGCAGCAACACAAACGATTTAAAATCAAACCCTACAGCTCAAATCATGAAGTTGGCTATATCATGCTATATCCCATTAAATAACCTCATGATATAGCCCCAATACCCATGACATCCCATGAGCCCCTTACAACATCCCTGCTCCCATATTAAAACATACCACGTCGCACCACGTATTTACTGATTCAATCCTGCCACTAGTTGAATTCCACTTGTTTGGTTTGAATCCGACTATACACCACCATTTTAGCATACTATATCATATCCCCATTGCATCCCATTACCCCCAATAAAAACAGGGAAGTTTCCGACGAAACTATGTGATCATATTTGTTCAACTGTCCGCTCATTGCAGGTTTCATTGTCGCCCAGCACCATCGTAGTATTCCCGAAAAAAAAGCTAAAGTTTGCCAACTTATGTGCATCAATTTAATTCAATTTAGCTATCGTTTGGCTGGCTATATCTGCAGTCTTGATGGTTGTATCCCGATTCTTCATGGTTATAATTCAGCATGTTCCTATGGTTTCGGCCTCACCTTATGGATGTCATCGCCACGCCATTTCCCTGAGGCCTTTGGGCCTCGATGCGGTCGCAAACGTTTTGGCGGACCGTGGAGGGTTGCATGCGCCTGGACGTGAGGAAAAGAGGTGGGCAATGGTTGCGATCCACCTCTGTTGATGGCATTTGATCATTTGATACTTGATTCTTGGGAATTTACCCTCTGGTTATGACTAACAGTTCGCCATGGTTTTTCGATGGCCCCAGTTGAAATAGATGGTTTACCTATTAATAGCATGGTGATTTTCCATGGCAAACTGTTGAATACCAGATGGTAAGCATCAACGGTATTTTTCGGGAAACTGTTAATTATCCAACATGTGGCAATATCGTTTTTAAATGATGGTTGGTTGATGATTAGTTCTTCATTTCACCGGGATTCTAATCAAGAATAATCCAACTATGGGGATACAAGTGGGTAAAACTGATACATGGTGAATGATTGATGATTGGATTGGGGACTATACCAACCAAGTTTTGGTTGGAATATCAGACTCGGCAAATGGGGAACCCCGTTCTCAACCAGGATGTTTAGAGACTGAGATGACGGTCGATGGGTGTAGGTCACACTGCTCAGTTGGGGTTTGATGGGATGATTGCTCTCATAGGGAAACATATCATGGAACATACTTGAAACATGGAAAGAAAAACATCGGGATATGACAGAACATGGAGTTTCTATTGGTATTTGTAATAGTTAATGAAAAATGTCATGGAAATCACGTGCGACGTATGCCAGGGTTACTCTTGGGATGGGGGAAGCGTTTTTCCATTGAGGGAATAGCCATGGAATTGTCATCACACATAGCAACCGAAAATCCCTCATTTATAGGTGATTGTTTTGTAAATACGTCCATTTGGTTCCTATCTATATATCTATATATAGAAGATCTATTCTCACAGGAATGGTGATGGTGATATTCTGACTAATCCAGATATTGATGGTGATATCATGGGAATTTCATCGGAACATAGTGGTTGTGTTTCACAGGTTATCATCGAGATCCTATCCACAGAATGCGTGTCTCCAAGAACTGGAACAGACCCCACTCTCGTATATCTCATACATTTAATCGTATGTATATATGTAAATGGCATGTTTGATGATGAGAATGATGACAAACCAACAAATTTGGGGTACCGGGCATACCCTATTTTCAGACAAAACCCCATATATAATACACATGCATTTGTATTATTCTATATACACATATGTATTTTTAACAAAGTATATATTTTGTATTGCAAGAGGATCAACATGTATTTGTCCCAGAAAATTGTTAATTATGTTCCTAGAAACACATGTATTTGCACCAGAAAGCCAAGATTTTACCCATAATTCATCTGATTTTGAATTGTGTTGCGACCTCGCTGGCTGGCATCATCCACAAAATGACGAAAGGTTCAGGTTTTGCCCAGGTAGACAGGTTTCTGATAGTTTGTTGGAGTTTGGGGTGGGAAAATAAGAGACCAAAAAATGTACAAAGTACAAAAACCCAGCACTAAAGCAGAATCTCCTGGTGGGTGTTTGATCTCAGGATGCAGGGATCAGTACCATTGAACCATCTCTTGACCCATCCATTTTCTGAGCGCAGCTGGCCATTTCATGGTAGAGTTTGGTTGCAGTGGTGTCTTTTGATGGCCTTCAATCTGGATGTTCCAGTCCAAAAAATTGATAGAACTGGGACGACACACGTTGTTGTCACGCTTGCGGACACTTAAACCAGGAATGTCTAGAAGAGGCTTTCCCGGCTTCTTCCAGCACTGCGTTGGATTTATTTGAGTTGGTGCGTCGGAGATTAGCGCAAGACGCGTCTCCATATTTGGGAAAAGCCAAGGCTGTATTTGCCAGCCTTGGAGCGATTTCATCAGATGGTCGAGCACATTCACCAGGACAAGAAGATGGGTTGGGATGCCACTGAGGCCGCTTGGCGGGATTTGGGATTCGGTGGTCGAAGAAAACAGCTTCAACAATTGAGATCTAGCTATTTGATGCTTCACGACCCATCGTTGGGTGTCTTGTCATCACGAACAATGGGCCATTGTTTCAGCCCCAAATCGATCCAAATCGGAACTGGTTTCACCATGGCGGGTAAATGCTAACAGTTTGATGTGGAAAACCCACCATGAAAGAAAACATCATTTTCCGAAGGGGAAACAACCATGCATGGATTTCCATAGTATGGTGCCGAAACGGCTATCCACTTCAGCCAAAAAATGGAGCTGGTGATAAAATAGGTTTAGCCACTGATATTGGCTACTTATCTATACTGTATACACATTGATATGCTATTTACATCACAAATATTATATCGACATGTATATGCTATGTCATATTCTTTGTACTTGATATGATATATGTACATACATATTTACATACATACATATATATATATAATTATCTTATCCGCCATTCCATGTTGCACTCCCAATGTACCCAACGCTTCCGCTGAACAACGCTTCCCAGTTTCGCGACGTTTCGCAAGGCCTTCAGCTGCCTGGGCTGCATGCAGCGCTATGCTGACTTCAAGGACCACGAGTTCAAACATGCCGAGCAGTTGCTGCAACGCTTCGATAGGTGGGAGACGTGGATCAATGACAAAATGTCTATGAAATGGTGGATATTATTCACTATGAATGATCTTGACTATTAATGGTATTAACTATTAACGGTATTAATGGGTATCCCTATTAATTTGCTTCTTTTTAGAAAATGGATGAACATGGAGGTTTTGTCCATAGAAAATGCAACGCATACAATGGTGGAAAAGTCAGTGAAATTGATCGGATTGAAAGGATTGAACTGTTCGAAGTGATTGAATTTGACGGAACATTCCAACTTGCAGCACCATCCCAAGATGTTTTTTTCGACTGGCAAGTATGGGATTCGTTTTTGCTACTTGTCGGCGGGATTCTGGGATATAATATAACCATATATAACCTATAACATTTATCATAATCGGATTTGAATGGTCAGTCAGGACGGTTCCATTTCTCCAAACACCCGCAGGATATGATGGACCCATCTATCATGAGTGGTAAGTACTGTTTTTTACGGTTCCTTTTCGCAGAAATAAAAATGGGATACTGAAACTGTCACAAAACTGCAGAAATCCGGAATCCTGATATAGTGGGGTTTTAGAATATATAGAACATTCGTATATACACTTACTGTAGATATACACCATAAGTCTTATGATTATGATAGATGGTTGAGTCATTTTGATTTAAATCGAACACCAGAAAATGAGGATATAGACGCATCACCCTCTGGTAAACTAACATAGCTATTGAAAATTGCCATTTATATAGTTGATTATGTTAATTTTCCTATTGAAAATTGTGATTTTCCATAGCTATGTTAGTTTACCAGAGGGTATATCATCATATCCCAATTTTCGATGGTTGAACCACCAGTCCTTTTGATTACATTCCCCTGTTGGTGAGCCAGGCGCAAGGGCAGAGGGCACGCCAAGCAGTCCGAAAACCCAGTTTGTTTTATGACAGATGGAAACCATGGAGGGTATACTGTAGTAAATTATATATTGATAATAATCATTGTAAATAGATATTGATAGTGATAATAGATCACAATGATCATTAAATAATTATAGTAAACAGTTGTTTTTATTGACAATGACCAAAGTAATAATGATTGGTAATAATCAGTAGTACAACAAACAACACTATAGTAGTACAATTAGCAATAATGATCCGGTATTATACGTTTGATTGTTATGCTACTCCAGGTAGTACCCAAGAAACCATGATGATCAGCAAGTATTGTTTGTTGGAAGTATCATCATAAGTATCATGAATCATTATACGAGACCATGGGGACTAAGATTCAACACACCCCAGAAAGCCTCATTTAGTCATCAAGGGCCAAATTGGTATTTTATGATTGGGGAAAAATGCCTATTTGAGGTGATTTGTTGAAAGGACCCCAAATGGTTGGTTTATGATTGGGTTTACAGTATTAGCACATGATTTTTTTAGGCAAAACCACACATGTTTTGGATGTAAATCCAGCAAGTTCCGTCCGTATAAATCCTGCACAAAACACTCAAAGATGCCCATCCCAAGCCCGAAAGTCTGGTCAAAGCCATCCCCAAATCGGTGAAATTTTGAGGCCAAGTATCACAAGAATTTGGCAGACAAAATCCTTCGTTCTTGCAGCAGCGACTTCCAACCTTCGGCCTTCGGTCTATTTTCCAGCACAAACTTCCCACAGAATGTTGGATTTGTTACTTTCTAATTGAAACAATTGTGTCTGAAAATGGGAGCTGGGCCCCAATTTGGCCATTTGGGGATGATTAGGATGATAATTCTCATGATGATGCTGATGCTGCTGCTGATGATGATGATCGACCACTGGATGATGGAAGTTGGACCTAATTTTCCCCAGGAGCTTCAAGATCACTTACATCGAGCACAAACCGAGGGCCTCTGTTTGGAGGGAAGATGCAGTGCATCCCCGACAGCTTAGACGTCACCTGATGGATGGGGCCGGGGTCGGACTTCGTGAAATGTTGACAGATTGAAACGTGCAACTGGAAAGACAAGCCATGAAAACGTGCTGTTTTCTGCAACTGTTTCCTGCTTGAAGTTTGGGTTTTTCAAAGGCAGGATGTGCAGTTTGGACCTTGACACCTCTGTTTTGGATCCATGCTGATTGCCGCTGTAGTAGGATGAGAACATAACCATCATGACCTCTGGGAACTGCTATAGCTTAACCCTGGCTGATGACCCTTTTCTCATGTTCGCAAGTTGATGAATAACATAGCTGTGGAAAATCGCACATTTATAGATTTTATAGCTGATCTACCTAAAACATATGAGTTTCCCGTAGCAAAGTGTTGAATTACCATATAGGTACCCCGGGACGCCAGAACTTCAGCGATACCGATGGAGATCCGCGTCTGAGGTTACTATAGCTGCTTGATCGACGCCAATTGCGAGAGGGATGAGAACGACCCCAGGAAACGCAAGCCCCGCTTTCGGGTGGAGCTTCCAGGCTCTGGCCAGTGCTTGTTGCTGGGGAGTCATCAAGTGATCCCAGTCGATCGGAGGCTTTCCCATCCTTGGTGATGGCAAGGGCGACAACCAGAACAGTGGGACGCTCGGAAAAGGTGTAGATATCGGCAGGCTGGTTGGTTCATGGTTGACTATAACCATCTTAAAGGAGGAATGGTTTTAAAAGAAAGGATTTAAAGAAAGATGCATAAAGATACTGAACGTGATCTTTTCTGGTTCGGCATGACATGCTGGCCAGTTTTAGGACCCTTTCGGACTTTTGGCGATGTGAGTCGCAGCTAGTGGATGGTTTTTTCTGGATGACCTCACTATACATGATGTTTACGTGTCTGACATGACTCATACCAGAAAATGGCTAATTCATTTCCGGCTTCTGATTTTTTTATGGATTATTATTTACAGTAATATCCAGTAAAATCAAAAAAATCGTATATAATAATCCAAAAACTATAATAATCATATACCATAAATACTAGATATCATGATAATTTACAGTAATTTATAGTAGAATTATTATAGTTTATAGTAAAAATTCTCATAATTTGCCCAGATTCCTGTGATTTTCAGTGTCCTCCACGGCCGCCTTGGCCTAGGATTATCTATACACGTGGCAGCATCATCCAGGCGGCTATGGCAACATCCCATTTTGACCTTGGAGAAGTCTCAGCAGATGTTGGTTTTCCATGGTTTTTTTTAAACAAAAAAACATGCTGTCTCTATTGTTTTGATGGTTTTGTCCACGGTTTCTTTATTGTTTTGATGGTTTATATGGTTTTATCCATTGTTTTTGCCACGTGAGCAGTGTTCAAAGCCCCTTGTTGATATATTATGAGCCATTATTGGAGTGGATAGTGGGTTATACTATATGAGCTACTTTGAATAATGACTCAACAAGGGGTTGTCAACACTACGCAACCAAGGTCTGCCGTGTTGTCGGGGAAAACAGCAATGGGAAGATTGAGAACTGGATGATTGGGAAAGTTCAGATCTGAACGTTTGCAGGAGACCCATTTTTTGTGGGTACTGTTGCCATATTTCTTCTTCCGGGTTCCGGATGTTCCTGTGCCGTTCCAGGGGATATGAACAGTCGAGCGTTCGCACTGAGCAAAGCCTGTGAAACGGTCACTGAATGATTTGCCTGGCACTTTTTGGCCATGAAATGAGGCATAGAACATCCAAATAAAGATAGAATGGGATAGAAAAAAATATATATAGAAACATATAGACGATTTTTTTCACGGTGCATATCTTCAAGTTTCCCCAAGTATAGAAGTATCAACCTCAAGGCCATTAACGCTATGTCAATCTCAAAGGACTTACCCCGTTTTTTTTGTGCTTGATCACAGGCCATTGATTCCAATCAGGGTGCCTACTTTGAGCAGATGCTCTTGCCACTTGGCAGACCTTTTGTCTTGTTTTGAACTGGAGCCTTGGGTATACCTCAGTTTTGGGCATATCATTTGATGGGCCTTCGAGATAGCGTTCAGTTGAGATATAAGTGGCTTAACCAGGGTTTAGGGTAGATACAAGTGTATAGTTCATGGGGGTTATAAATCAACAAACATAACTTCAATGGGAATTTCAGGATCCTAAAATGGAGGTTCGTTAGTACCATATGTTTGGCCATATTTTGTGGGGAGATTCCCTGAAATTTAGGCCTTATATATGGTAGGTACCTCCAATTTAGGTTCCTGAGATGGCCAGTGATTTGATACCCTGAAAGTCTATTGGACGTACTTTCCCTACCAACATTTGGTAAACGGATACAGCTGTGGAAATCGCCATTTGTTGATAGGTGCAGTAAATTTTCTGTAAATTTGCCGTTTTCATCTATGTTCCATAGCTGCAATTCTGGAATATGTTTCTGATATATAACCCAGAATCAGGTGAAATATATATATATATATAATATATAAATATCCATTCTGGTATCAGAAAAACTACATATCATCCATTTTCTGCATATTTTTCTATGTCCCATAACACAGACTATGTGGCTTTAGAGATGGCGATGGGCCAAACAACGATAAGTTTACCATGGCATCAATAAGCTAATTCAGACACTGAAATACTTGAGTATATAATTTGAAATTTGACTCAAGTAATGCCATGAAAAATGTTGGATGGTATGAATGGTGCCAGAAATATCATGTTGGCAGGTTATATCCCACCACATCCCTATTATATCTCCATGTTCACTGATGGCATCTGATTTTTCCCATATTAGTAGCCCCTAACATCATGATGGTTGGCTTACTGTAATATTGTTCCCATTCTATTCCCATGATATTCCACTTGGATATGTTCTCCATGATTTTCCTGAAATGAATTCCGAAAAATGATGTCCTATCCATTGTATCTCCATGATATTTCCATCAAACATATCCATCAAACATTCATGGTGGAAATGGTGTTGGAATGGGATGATTCCCCCCAAAGGTGGATTGTTTCCGTGATATTCCCCGACATGTCCGAATGATTTCCCCAATGCATTTCCGAGTCTGAAGGGATTTTTTGACGGTATTCACCATGGATTCCCATGATAATTCCCATGATACCCGGCCTGGTAAACATACAAAAAGCTATTGAAAATGGCCCAGTCAAAATAGTTGATTTACCTAGTAAAAATGGTGATTTTTCATAGTTGTGTGTATGTTTACCAAAGGGTATTCCCATGAATTTCCCCCTTGGTTTTCTCCATTTCTTCAGGTTACCCTGTGCCCTGGGCGAGTTCCGCAGCACGGGCGGACTGGCCGCGCGCATCGTGGGCTTCGCGGAGCATATCACCAGCCACTCAGCGAGGGGCGATTTTTTTTGGGCTGATCCTGGAAGGGGTGGGTTTTGGCCATGGAACCGTGGTATAAGATGGTAGATGTATTGTAGATGTGGGGTTTAAGATGGTTTAAGATGGTTTAAGATGGTCTAGCCAACCAAACTTGCTGGTTTAAGATGGTACAAGCTGGTAGAATTCATCGGACATGTGGTATTTCGGCATGGTTTGACCCACCCATTTGGGTGGGTTCAGGTGACATCGGACAAGTTGGGTGAACGGAAAGAGCCCACTGGATGGTAGATGTGGGGCGGTACACTTTAACCATCTTTAACCCATACCCATCAATATGTAATGTAATAGACCCAAGCTTGAACCACATCGAACACATCTAAAACACTATATATGCAATAATCAACATGAAAACAGAGGAACGATTGGATTTCTCCGCCTTTTTCCCTATGTTTTCCCAGTTTCCACTGGTTTCCTCCAGAGGCGACATCGGCTCGCTGGGCGACTTCGCGGCGGGTGCGGAGACGGCCTTCGGCACGGTGCTGCAGCGGAGCTACGTCGCCTGGTTGGGGAATCCCCCATAGCTGGCCTGAGTTTTCAGGTGAAATACCCTCTGGTTATTTGTTACATAGCTATGGAACATGGCCCATAGAAATTGATGGTTTACCTATTAAAAATGGCGATTTTCCATGGCTATGTTAAATAACCAGAGGGTATATTGACATAGGATCATTTTCCGTAATTTTCCCAGACATAGAGCTGGCCTAAAAAACTGAAATATGATGTTTTTTTCTCTCAGACATTGAACCAACTGGATGGGTGTATATATATAAATATCTATACTTTTATATCACTATAAGGGTTTTATCAAAAACCTGGGGATGAGCCCGCATTTCAAGGCAAATGGAACGGATATGGCTATGAGTCAAAACCCTTAGACCCTATCGATCCGTAGGTGCCCTATAAGTCGTAGCTGGGAATCATGAATTTTGATTCCGAGTCTTCCCCACAATGGGAGTCATGGGATAGCAAGCCATTGGGATTGACGCATCATCAAATGCAGCTGGACACCTATAACAAAGGGCGATGTTGATAGACTATTGGGGAAGAGAACTAGCTCCGCTTGGCACATTTTGATACATTTTGGGTCAAGGCGGCACATGGTCAGCATGTTCCCATGGCCATGGTCCATATGCCCATTGTGTTTCAGGATTCCCATGGGAACATGACCCATGACCCAATCCCATGAATCCCCCTGGTAACTTGACCATGGCACATGATTTAGCCGCAAAAAATGAGGTTTTGGACTCGTTCATGCCGCAGGTCCAAGGTGGTTTCGCCAAGAAATTCGGTGTTTGGCAGTTTGGAACTTAAAAAAACATGTTCAAAGATACATTGACAACATCAGGTTAAACTATACGTGTTTCGCCCAGGCAACTTTGGGTGCCCGGATGCACTACGGACACCCAGCGGCTTGGATTTGTGAAAGGGCACCAACAAAGATATCAGGCCTTATGGATAGAAATTGAGGATCTGACCATACTGGTAGGATTTATGGATCAAAATGGTGATTTATGGATAGGAGTTCTTCACCAACACCAAGCCCAATGGGGCAAAGTATAAGCACCCTGAAACCCCCACAAAGATGGAGAGGAACCATGGATCTGTATGGTGGAAATTGATGTTTCATGATGTTTCCATTGGTTGCAGCACGGGGTTGCAGCATCACATGATACTCTCTGGTAAACTATGGAAAGATCCACCATTTTTAATGGGTAAATCCACGAACTAAATGGCAATGTTCAGTAGCTATCTTAGTTTACCCTCTGGTAAACTAACATAACTATGGAAAATCACCATGTTTAATGGGAAAAACCACTATAAATGGTGGATTTTCCATAGCAAACTGTTAGTCATTACCAGAGGGTACCAGGCCGGGTATCTGCTCGGCGGCAATGGTGTTGTAAAACAAGAGCCGCTGGGATTCAACGGAACTGGTTGGTGGTTTGGTGGAAAATCGATGGGAAATCTATAGGAAATCGATGGGAAACTATGACTGGCTGGTGGTGACTGGAACCATGGAATGGATTATGACTTCCCCATCATATTGGGAACAATAATCCCAACTGACGAACTCCATCATTTTTCAGAGGGGTAGGTTGAAACCACCAACCAGACATGTTTTAACCCCCCGGATAGCGCGTGGCTATCCTGAACTGGCAAAAATGGACAAAATGGGAAAGGAACAGTTTTAAACTGTAAATGACACTCTAGATCAGACCCCACCCCACGACGTGCAAGTTGACACGCCACGAAAAATCTGGAAGGCACCCGCCACCTGAACGCAGTTTGTGCAAATCATGAAACCATCCTCACTGCATTTCGTTCTTGAATTCTGTGCCTAAAACATATCCTCAGTAAAGTAACCACCGAAAAAGATAGAAAAGTAAATAGTTACTATATCTTACTAATAGTATCTATTATTATATTGTTATTATTTACTATTATTATACTATTATTAGATATTATTAGATATTACTAGTAGGTTTCTACTGTTCTACCTCTATATGATGACGACAGGACATGATGAACAAAGAGTACATGATGCAACAGGGCGGCGTCTCGAAAGCCACGAAGATGTTAAACCTCTCAGAGGACGTCCTGGAAGTTGTTGATTTGGTTCACTGGGGCCTGCCAACCATCTGAAATCTCAGTGGTTAAAGACATCAATGATGTTTCATAATTCGATTTACTCAGAACATTTAAATGGATTTATGGTAAATTTCAATGAAATTAATCCATTACTAGAATAGACCATTCATTTAAATAGATGAACCATGAACCATTCATTGAAATAGATAATCCCAGAACAAGATGATGGGATGCCCCAATAAATACGACGCATATACGACACACTGGTGTCCGATTTCGATTTCACCCACTAGCCCATTGAAACAAAGTTTGGTTTTTCATCAGCAGTTTTAATCGAAATGGTTCCTTCAAAATCATGGTTCAAATTCCCTTCTCTCAGTGCTTCAGCAAACTTCCCTTAAGAGATCATGTGTTGTTCACTTGAAGGCAGAATTTTGACCATAATTGCAGTCTTTGAACCATTTGTTGTTTCCAAAAATCTACGGTTCCGAAGGGTGAATGAACTCAGCGCAGGACATTTTTGCAGGAAAGGACTTCACCCTGAGGCTCCCGAAAACATTCACCTCTGGGGATCAATTTTTGTCTCGAAAAGATCTCCGAAAAACTGGCTTTGTTTGTTAACATTTAGGGGAACCACCCAAAAGTACACAGCTTTATCTCCAGCTTGCCATATTTTTCCACTAGGTTCCCAGATTTTCCCCAAGTTTTTTCTATTGTTCATGGGGAACCAGTTGGAGCTACACTTGTTGGACTTTGGAGACCTAGGTATGGACATGATAGCCACAGCTATGATCAAAGATGGGGGGTTTCCATAAGGGCTACCCCCATCATCCATTTCTATAGGATCATAAATGAGGTACCCCCATGGAAACCTCCATCAGCTACCGGACAGAGGACATACAGAAGTCTATACAGATGCATCTGAATATAAAAAGACAGATGTTAATCACTTGGATATTTGAAGATATTTTACAGATACGATGCGTTTAAACCGTTTAAACAAGTATATTTCATTATATTTCTAGATGGTTGTAGAGTGATTAAAGCCTTTTGTTCACACCCAATCGCGATTTTGGTGGATTCTTATGGAACATCCCCCAAAAATGGATGGAAAATGATGGGATGACTGAATTCATTTCGAGAGATTTCACTGGAAAATATATGATCCAATATGATCCTTAAATGGATCCAACATCATCCCCAAAAAATCATCTGGAAAACCCATGGGATGTTGATCCATCCAGATCTGCCAGCAGATCTGCAGGGGTGGACTGCGGGAGATCTTGCATCGGGAGTATTTGCACGTGGGAAAGGGTCGTGACCTGGGCTTCAACTCAGCGCCTTGGAGATGACTGTGGAAGGTCAGGAACTTGGAGATTTTCACGGATGTTGGGATATGGGATATCGATGTAATGTAAGAATGGTGTAAGAATGATGATGTAGATGTTCTGTAAATTATGTACCCTCTGGTAAACGTTTACATAACTATGGAAAGATCCACCATGTTCAATAGCTATGTTAAATTACCAGAGGGTATGTATTGATGTTGATGATATTTTATCGTGATCTTGAAGTAGATAGGATATGTCACGATCATCCCACTTAGATCCACTGGTGATTGGTACCCTGTTTTTTTGTGAGGCCTTAGTGGCTTCCATGTCGACATGGGTTATAACATGTTATAACGATGGTTGCTAAGCAGTTACTAAGTGGGATGTTACATACTGTGGATGGTTGCAAAATCCTGCACCACCTTGGATGGTTGAAACATGTTGAAACCCTGTAAATAATGGGATAAACCATCTACCAACTGGTGCAGGATTTCGCAACCATCCACCGTATGTTGAACTTAAATTCGCAGTAAAATGAATGTGCTTTGTCTACAGTACTCTGCCTGGAACATGCCCCAGAATCCCATTCCTATTTTAGGCATGCGCCAAAAACAAAAAGCTATGAACAAATCCTTCATACTTGTGAGGTTTGCAATCTTGTTACCCTCTGGCAAACATACAAAAAACTATGGAAAGATCCACCATGTTTAATGGGTAAATCAACTATTTCTATGGCCATTTTCAATAGCTAGTTTACCGGAGAGTAGGGCAAAAGGCTAACCTCAAAGCCAAGATTTGGAATCTCGTCCATACTCCTGCGGGGTATATACATTAATTCAAAAATTGTGTGTGTGTTTTCAAACCTTGCCGAAATCTCCCAGGCTATATAATATCAGGTTTTTTCTTTCCGTATAATTAGATAGTATATATATATAATTATATATGATGATATTCATGTTAATATTAACATTATGTATTTTAACATGATGTATGTACATATGTGCAAATACATGTACTGTACTTTAGAAGTTGACAGACTATTTTGTCAATGCGCGCACACGAAAAGATTGAGATACCAAAGTGGTGAAAATGTCGCGTTTCATAACTGATGGGACCAATCCGCGCATGATTTTTATGCAATCATTGTTTCTTCTCCACGTTTCCATTTGACAATTTTCCTTAAATGTTTGTTTGATTTTGAAATTATCGAAGGTGGCTGGGTTGGGCCACCCGTCCACACAATATGCTGGAAAAACGGTGCCAGATGGCTCCCAAGGGGTCGACGGTAGCAGGTGCTCTTCTTCTTTGCCAAGTTGTTCCAGGGCACTGGTGAACAGTTGTTGACGCGACAGATGAAACGTCTGGGAGATGAACTGGTTACTTGTCGTTGAAGGAAAATTGGGGAACTGTGTTCATTGAGCCATGTGTTGTTTGTTGGTTGGTTATCAAATAGATTTAAATAGTGGATTTAATGTCAACATATATATATTTTAACCATCAAATTTAATAAGATTATCAGATAGTGGATTTGACCATCAAATTTAATCATCAACCATCATGGATTCAATTCAGGATATAGATGACTGTATAATCGTTTTGAGATCACGGGTGGTCTAATTGGGAGTCTTATGACATAGCCCATATTAGGAACACCTACTATATACCATCTATCACTCAACCAATAGAATGGGATGGGACCGGGGGGTATCTTTCATGGTTCAATTGTGAAACAGGATTGGATGTCCATGAAGGCATTGGTGGTTCCGAACTTCCATGCGAAGCGAGACAGGGTCAAAAATTTCCTAACATGTTTTTTCATGAGAACACAAACCTTTGGTTTTAATCATGTGTTTGACTTCAATCCGGGAGACCCACAATTCTTCAGTTTATCATCATTGTCCCAATCAAGATTGCAAATTGTATCCCGGTATCCCCATGTCAAGACACCCACATCATCCTTTGGCGATTTTTTTCGCTCTGTAGTGGTTAACACCTTCAGAAATGACATACGTTCATGGATCAGATCACAGCAACCAAGCAGCACCAAGGACCTGCCGGAGTTTCTCACGCCCCTGTGGCTGCAGAGCTGGGTCCCGGCAATGTCCAGTCATGCAACTGGTAATCCCCAACTATGGATTTATGATTTATATACATTAAATGGAACATCCCCACAAACATGGCTTTCAAGACTTGAATTGAATGGTATAATTTGAATGGTTCTGAGGGTCCCATTTTAGGCAACCTCCATATGGATGTTACATGGTGGTGCATCATCAGGGCTGGATGTTGCTCAACCACTCGGGGAGACGTTCAAAGAGTGGCAGAATTTGCGTGTTGGTTTCTAGGACCATGGTCCATGGTATTACGGGTTAAGGCATATTTTATCTGGCTGGTGGTTTGGAACATAAAAGGATTATGACTTGCCATATATTGGGAATGTCATCATCCCAACTGACGAACTCATATTTTTCAGAGGGGTAGGTATACCACCAACCAGTTATGATATGAGTTGCAATCCACTAGAAATCTTGAGGAATTGCTATTGGCACTTCAGCCGAGCAGGTTCTCATGGGGTCTCCAAGAGGTTTACCAATTCACCAAGATGGAAAGGGTTTGTTTTTGCATCATTACTATATGAACCCTAACCTAGCTGGATTTGTGGATGCTCATCCCCTCATTCATTCATATGTGCCACGGTCACTAAGATGGCTCAAAAGCTTCTTTTCCCCTAAGTTCGGGGATGCTCATACCAACATTTATAGGGATTCATATGGAGGTTTCCTAAAATGGGGGTATCCCGAAATCATCCATGTTAATAGGATGTTCCATGTTTTAACCATCCATTTTGGGGATCCCGCATTTTAGGAAACCTTCATATAACCATTTATAAGAAATCCCATTCACGATAATGAGATGACCAAAAGTCCCATGACTATCCCATGGCACGACATATCTTGACCGTGGCACCATGGCACCACCAAGCACCGCCAAGCACCGCCATGCCAAGTGCTGGAGGTTTTACTATGCACATGCAGGCTACTACCTCACCCAATTCCTCCTGTCGAAATGTCCCTGGGAGATCAGTGCTGGTTGAAATTCTTATGGGGATGCTTCAAATATCCCAATGGTTGAATGTTGAGTATAACATGCCATTTCTTAAGGAGGAATGAGTGATTGAGTGAATCATCAGGCCATATTCAGTGAATATAATAGATGGTTGTGTATAAAATGCCATCAAACTGTAGGAATGTCATGGAATGGCATCCAATGTCCCAGTGAATGTTGACTTATTTGGTTGTCTAAGTTTAGCCATTTCCACTCCATCGCATCCAGGTGATACTGGAAGATGTTCCCACAATGGTTGCATCAGTAGCTTAAGGTATCAGTTTGGTGCTTCGAAAATTGTGTTGACCATCAACCACCATCAACCACCATCAACCACCATCAACCAACATTCAGAACAGTGAATCGCCTATTTCATTCACTCATTTTATCTCCATGTAACCTACTAGTAGTTAAATCACATGTTGTATTAGTTTTATCACAGGTTTTCTTCGTTAAAACATGTTGGACCACCATTGGACCACCCCATCTGAATTCAGATGTTTTTCACCGCGCTCACCATGGCCATTTTTTTCAGGTATCCCCCTCTTGGTTTTCACCTGGCTGTTGCTGGTGCTCGATGACCCTGAGCAGAACTTCCCAGCCATCGACGAGCAGCAAGGTGGTTGAGACCTTGGCAACCAACAAAAATGGGCTGAAAATGGTTAATGGTTATATTTGTTGACTAATGATGGTGAATTATGGTAATAACTAGTGGTTAATGATTACTAGTGTCAAAATCATTAATCCCATTAATCACTGGAGATTAATGGATATTAATGGATATTAATGGGATTATGGACATTATAGTGGATATTAATGTGGGTAAAAAACAATGTCATAAACCATCCTCCAAATTACCATAACTTGCTGCTATAAACCATTCCCAAATATGCCCAAGTGGGTGGTTTCTTATTGTCTTACCCACACTACAAGTATGGAAAAAAATGTAAAATCTTAGTTGCTAAGATAGCGGTGAATCTAATTTATTGGATCTTTTTGTTTCAGATGTTTTTTGTGGTTACAAACCAGGGACATGTACCAACTACCAAAGAATGTGTTTTTGGAGTGTATCTGAGATCAGTTATGTCTGCAGTTCATCAATTAGGAATGCTATAGAATGATATATATATATATACATATAATTACATATATATATATATATTATGTAACGAAGGGAGGTGGGTGAAACTTGTAAACTTTATGATTGTGTTTGTAAATTGGGCATACCACAAAAATGGCAATGTTAACTCTTATATCATTGGAAAATTATGATGAGCCATCAAATTGATGGTGCCTTATTTTCCGTGAAAACCATTCAAAACTGAAACTGGCTGGTGGTTGCAAGATGTTTCCTGAAACCCTATGGGCATCCCCACATTTGCTGCTTGATCATTCCAGCATATGTCCCATTTAGAACATGTTCATATGTGCATGTCTCTTAACTCTATGTATATATATATATACATTTGTAATGTATTTATATATATATATGAATATATGAATATATATATATATTTTTTATACATATATACACATGTATATATATATATCATTGCCAGAGCCCAAAATCATCGTGAACCCCTATGTTTAAATCCTCATGTTGACCCGCTGAAAAGTCCTGTTTTTTTCTCGGCAGGTGGGATGTCGGGGGCGACCATCATGGCCAAGATGTTGATCACGCAGTTCGCCTGGCACCTCGATATAGAACCGGGAAAACATGGGGGAAAACTTTGGGGAAAACCTTGATAAATCGAGGTTCTTGAATGGGAAAATCACTTGTTGTATATGGTAATATATGGATGATCCCCTGTAAATGAAGGTTTGAATGGAAGAATCAACTATTATCATCTATTGTTGGTAACAACTATTGTACTGTAGAATGGAACATCCATTTATAATCAACTATATAATCAAGTATATTAAGAATCAACTATTATCATCTATTGAAAATGGAACATAAATTTATTTATGGAACATTATTAAATATACTATGTTCCATTATCATCTGTACTATTATAAATGGATATTCCATTGCTTTTTGTTCCCCTTGGATTTGCTGCGTCGATGATTTTTTATTGGTGGTTTTTCCACTGGGAAATCCACTACGACTGGGTAATCGATATTGTTGGTTTTTCAATACCCTCTGGTAAACAAACATAACTATGGAAAATCACCATGTTCAATGGGTAAATCCACTATTTCTATGCTCATTTTCAATAGCAAACTGTTAGTCATTGCCAGAGGGTAATTCTTGTGCTTCCTTTTGCGCAAAAGCCAAGATCACTGTGTCACTATCGGGAATATCATGGGGATCGTTTGGATGATTTAATGGGAGTAACATCCTAACATGAAACTATCATCAAAAATGGTGGTTATGAACTTGATATCATGAGGAGATAGTGGGCACTAGTGGAATGATGAAATTTATGAGACTGAGAATCTCATGGAATGTACAACCTGGGATTTATTGAGTTCTTGTTTCATGGATGTATTTGGGATGTATGGGATATTAACCATTAAAAGTGTGATTCTACCAAAAAAATGGTGGTATAATGTGATATAGCAAGGATATAATTCGAATAGGATGATGATGATGATGATGATGATTATGATGATTATGATGATGTAATTATTTGGATTTGTTTGTGGATCCAATGAAATAATGGGAGCAAATCTGAGAGCTTCGTGTTGCCAAGTCGCTTCCAGTCGCTTTATCTGGTTTGGATCCTCTCGATATGATCCTCAGGTTGCTAAGTCTATGATGTTTGTTCGTTGTCCCAAAGGACAATTCACCTTTTTTTGGGCGGGAATCTACACCGATTTTTTTGATGTGAGACTGAGGCACCTCAAATGGGAGTTATGATATTAACCATCTACATAGATATAAACCATATCTACAACGACACAATCGTTTACAGGCCATATTTTTTGGGCCCCAAAAGCCGCAAAAAAAAAACATCGGGAAAGCTGGCCCCAGCCGCAGGTTGATGCCCCTCTTTCTCCTGGCTCAGATGGCGCCGCTCTTTTTGCAGGCTAGACGTGTGGGGCGTGGTCAGGGTGTCTGAAAATGAGGTAAACCACCCCAAAAGGATTTCTTAATCGGGAAAATATATGAACATATAGGATTTTTTATGATTAACATTGATGAAGCATATTACCAGTGGATTCGGATGTAACCATATATGTAGCCTATTTTCAGACATCCCGTATGGAGCTGTGATTGGCTTGATCGGAGAGACCATCAGCAGCAAGCATAGAGCCCAAGCGGCTGCAGATGTGGTGGGAGAAAAACATCTTGGCTGCGCTGCTACGGATCTTCAAGCAGCCTCCTGGCTGCTTAAGGGTTGCTGTTGGGCTTTTGAAGTGGCTCCAGTCTCCAGGTTTGATCCCTAAGTTGATCGCTGGTTGAAAGTGAACCGTCAGACATCAGTACCCTTCAAAAATGGAGGGAGATGAGTTGGTTTCCCACATGCTTATTCCAGTTGTCAACGGGATCTTTTTTTCTGGGAGTCCTCTGGAATCCGGCTACTCAGATGGTCTGGTCACCAGGCAATTTTGCGGGTAGCCTTTGGTAGTCGAACTTGGCAACGGAAAGTCCTCCATTGTGGGTTTTCCCATGAACACCTCCATTTATAGAGGATGTTCAATTGCCATGTTTGAGTACAGGTGGGTATCCAATATTGAGTCATACCCAAGGATGATTTTTCTCGCCCCAGCCATATCAATTGCAGAAAGAACAAGTCAAGTGAACAGTTGTGGTTGTTGCTATACCTTGGAACCCTCCCCATCACTAGTGTTGAAACAACATTCGTAAGATTCCAAGCTTCATTTCCAAAAGGGGTTGAAAAAGAAACAGTCCCCAAAAAGGATTTGATAAGTTTGTTTTCAGGATGTCGTAGTAATAGTGTTACCCTCTTGATCCTCACAATTTGCCAACTGGAAACTGTCAGGATGTTGACCTGTGCTTTCTTGCACTTCATCTTTCAGGCAGCTTTGGATGGAGCGTAGTCCGTTGTGATTGTCGGTTTAAATCACCAGATTTGGGGAATGATCACGAAAGCTAGCGTCAGCTAGCTGGAGTCTTCTTGCTTTAGCAAGTATTCCGGGGGCTGCTCAAGGACATCACGTGATTTTTCACGCGAAAGGGGGGGACCCCCCCACCACCACCACCACCACCATCACCACCATCATCATCATCATCATCATCGTCATCGTCATCGTCATCGTCATCGTCATCATCATCATCATCATCATCATAATCGTCATCGTCATCGTCCTCGCCATCGTCCTCGTCATCGTCGTCATCATCATCATCATCATCATCATCATCATCATCACCATCATCATCATCGTCATCTTCATCGTCATCGTCATCATCATCATCATCATCATCATTGTCATCGTCCTCGCCATCGTCCTCGTCATCGTCATCATCATCATCATCATCATCATCATCATCGTCCTCGTCCTCGTCCTTGTCATCGTCATCGTCATCGTCCTCGTCCTCGTCATCATCATCATCATCATCATCACCATCATCGTTAATCAATTACATTTTATCATTTTTGGCAATTATTGGCATTATCACGAAAGCTAGCGTCAGCTCGCTAGAGTCTTCTTGCTTTAGCAAGTATTCCGGGGCTCCCCAAGGACATCACGTGCTTTTTCACGCGAAAGGGCCCCCCCCTGCCCCCTCCCCATATATATCATTGTTATATATCATATATCATATATCATTGTTGCATCCTCGTTGGGACGAACAATGCCGCGACACGATGATGACAGTCCCTCCGCAACTCACCTCTTCCCTTCCTTCTTTCTCCTACCCCGCTAGCTTTCGTCATCCACCCCCGGCCTCAAGTTTTGTGGTGCCCTGTCGGACAAAGTTTTAGATGTTTGGTGCGTTGAAAACTCCTGAAACATTATCTGGTTGGTGGTTGGGAACATTTGGATTATTTTTCCATTCAGTTGGGAAGGTCATCATCCCAACTGACTTTCACTCCATAATTTTTCAGAGGTAGGTTGAAACCACCAACCAGCTATAGTGACCACAAGCAAATGAGTCCATTTCAGCCGGATGAAAAATCACAACTTGGATCCCGAAATCCGGTGGCATGTCGTGTTGGTAAAACCATGGTTGATGTTTTTGCCTCAAATGGATGATATAGACCATCCCGACTTAGTAGCTTTGTGGCAGTGGGTTAAACCATGTTAAACCCACATTTTTCATCATATATTCTTCGGCAATCGGTCCAAGCAATGGGGATTCATATGCCATGAATATATATTCCTGGATTGTCGCCTTGAGACAACACAGACAACACCAAAGCACTGGCTTGGAGAACGCGGCTTCCCGCTGCTGTCGGCAGCGGATTAGAGTGCCATCAATATACCCATTACCCTCTGGTAATTGAACATAGCTATTGAAAATGGTGGATTTAGTTCGTGGATTTACCCGTGAAAAATGATGGATCTTTCAATAGTTATGTAAACGTTTACCAGAGGCTATATCTTTATTTCATTTTGCACTAACCCCCTCTGATTACGTATAGATATGGAAATTCCCACCATGTGTCGAGGCCAAAGTTATTGGCGCGAACATCACCCGGGAGATCACCTTGGGAGGCAAGGTGGGCGACCATACCAAGCAGAGGTTGGAACGCCGAGCGACTGGTATATTAAGGAATATATATATATATATTATTATATTATATTATATTCTATTCTATTCTATTCTATTCTATTCTATTATATATATATATATTATATTATATTATATTATATGTATAGCACACTTATACATATACACATTCTGACATATACATAGACATGTACGTATGCATGTGCCTTTATATGTGCATAGATTTTTTTCTAGCTACACAGATTCAAAAATCTAGGAGTGCCATACACAATACATATCCCTATATATACATACAGACAGAAACTGAAGATTTCATGTTGGGAAATTCACATATATCACGCCCGCAGACAAGTGAAAGCGGATGATTCACCTGCCAGGCTGCCAGGTGATGGCTTCTAGATTTTAACAAGACATCCTGGTCGCTCCTTCTTCTTCCTCGTCCACCTCCTCCTCCTCGGCTTGCCAGCCATGCTGACAGTCACCTTGACCCGACCCCCGACATGGCGAAGTTGCCACCTCTCTGCGGCGTGCTGTACCGGAACACTGTGCCAGAAAGAATGCCCGATAAAATGTGACATGAATGTCAGAAATTTTGTTCAGATAGAATGCCAGAAAAACGATTCAATGTCAGATGATATGTCAGGTAGAATGCCAGATAAAGTTCGTCATAAAACGTTGGAATATATGCCACAAATTTTGCCACGGTGGAGATCCCTTGAAGAAAATTGTGTTTTGGTGGTGAATTCACCATGTGAACTTCAGAAGAACGGAAAATGGGAAAGGGGCAGCAAGCGCCTTGAGATAAAGATGAAGTCTTCATTGCTGTATTCGAGGGTAACCGATATGCTCATGTGCCGGGCCACTGTCCGAACTTGGCTGATTTTTCTTGGCATTTCAAGGACACTCGCATGCCCACCATCTCAAACACGCCTTTGTTTGCGAGAAATATACCTACACTGACACAGTCGCCGTTTTATGCCCACATGCGTCGGCGCAACGACTACCTTGGAACATCCTGAAACGCATTTTTTGAAATTTTAAGTGATAACAATCAACTGTACCTGACATCATTAAAAATAAGAATCTACCTGGGACCTGGAGGATCGCCCCACTTAGAAACTGCCTAATGACATTGGTTAGGCTGGCGTCCCCTTAGTGCAGTACATTCGGTCATCGCAGGCGCCAAGTACAAAGCCACGGGACGGCAGCTGCCAACACAACGTGCCGCGTTCATTGGAAGATCTCCAGCTGCAGATGACACGGGGAGGATTTAACAAAATTTAACCAGATTTAACCATAAAACATGGGTCAACCCGACCGAAGTTGAAAAAATGATGTAATATGAAGTAATAAATATTCCATTGGGTCTTCGAAAACGTGGGCGGAGTGTGGGATGCGGTGGGGCAATAACGTTCAAGTGAAGGTCGGCTGCAAATGTACATGTTTTGGCAACTGCAGTCGTTCGGCAAGAGACTCTGGTTCAAATGGCGGCAATGTGAACCAGTTCTTTTGTTATGTCAAGTGAAACAGTATAATCTCGTCCCCTAGTAAGCAACACCCCCTAAATGGTCCCGAATATGTGTATGTCCCCTATTTGGTTTCTGGGGGGGTGTTTAGTGGTAGCGGGATGGGATTGTGTCTTTGTTCCTAACCCAAACGCATTACGGTTATTTGTTGTATTTATTTATTACATTGGGTAGCAAGTTGATTTCTTCTTGTTTCCCCACATGTCATTTGTATATATATATATATGTATGCAAAAATTATTCCAAGTCCCAACCCCACAACCACAAAAGAGGGTGGCCCGGTTCTTCACAGGGTTTGAGCTTCTATGATAGCCTTGAAGGTTCCAAGTTGAAAGTTTCCATGATAGACTCATCCTGTCATCACTTTCCCATAATTGGGTTAACAGATGTTGCGGCATTTGTTTTTGTAGAATTCACCATGTTCAACCCTCATATGTGATGATTTGACAAATCGGTGTCCCGCATTTTTTCCGAAACCAATCCAATGAAAAACATCTTGGTACATAATCATGTATAATCATCACTGGTTGGTGGTTTCAACCATTTTTCCTCATAATATATGGGATGTCATCCTTCCCATTGACGAACTCATATTTTTCAGAGGGGTTGAAACCACCAACCAGATCATGATCCTCAATTGCTAGATGGTCACGTCAAATCCATCCAGTGCTATCCAGTCTTGAAAAAATGAAAACGTCTCCGCAGAGAAATCGAGCGCAGTTTCGTTTAACTTGATCTTATTGGTGGTTTGGAACATGGCTTTTATTTTCCATTTCATATATGGGATGTCAACCAGTGATGAATTTGGTGGCTTTCTCCTCCAGAATGACACCAAGAAGATCGAGTCCAACAGCTTGTGACGCTAGGAAAGTCAGCGCGGAAGATTAGCAAAATGCGCAAAGGGACTGGCAACAGAAAGGAAGCACATGATTAAACTCATTTCAACACCTAAGACCACCTAACAGACCACTGATCATTTTGTATTTCTTGTTATAGCAAAGAAAACAATGACAAAGAAATCAAATTAAAGTTGAGAACTGTTTTGTTATTGTTTGTACAACGTTGTTTTGTACATGATGAAAAATTGTCTCAACATTTTTGTGAAATTTCTGTGATGTACAAAAATCGAACTGCAGCAAATCCATCGTCGCCCAGAAGATGGTTTGTACAACGACTACGCGGTCATGTCGTTGTATGACGGCGCGCAGCTTCTGATTGCCATGCTGCTGGTCATTTCCGCAGGCCGGTGGAGACAGCAGGTCTCCAGCATCCCTGGAGGTTTTTCTGGCATTGAACCGCCCAACCAATGGTTTTCTGGTTGCTGGTGACCGGAACATAACGGTTTAGTATGGGTTAATGATGGTTAATGATGGTTAATGATGGTTAATGATGGTTAATGATGGTTAATAATCATTGCTTGGTGGTGACTGGAACCATGCAATGGATTATGACTTTCCATTCAGTTGGGAATGTCATGATCCCAATTGACTATGTTTTTAAAGATGGGTTGAAACCACCAACCATTTTTTCCCCAGCCCTCAATGGTTTCAATGAGGTACGCATGAGTGAAACCGTTGATAAAAATGAAGAGGGAAGTCAAGGCAGTCCCCAAACCCAATGAATCAACCCTGCCTGATTTCATGTCAGCTGTCTTCCCGCTCCTGTTGCAGAGCTCAGCGCAGATCTCACACCCATGTCCTATGTCCTAAGTGGCACTATGTGGGATATGTCGGATATGTAGTATTCCATGTTTTCCTTGTTGGGCTGATTGAAGTTGTGTTTCAAGCACCTCTTGCAAATCTTCAACAGCCAACTGCTTTCTGGACTGCACTGAGACTATTGTTGGAAAAGCTAGTGACTTTAAAGTAACTTTGAAGTCCCAATGTCCCTGGATGATGTTCTACATTTCTCCATGATTTCCGGATGATTTCAGGATTATTATGTCTAATGATCACAAGGTGAGACCCACCAGTTGTCTTTGTTGTTGGTTCATACTTCCATGAACTATCGATGCCTATCGTTATATCCTCCTAATCAACTATAGACTATAGACTATATCCGTCATACCAGTAGTACCGCACAAGGCGGTGGCGGAAGTTTCAAAAATAGGAAACCTATAGGAGAGGTTGGTCGTTGTGAATCCCGGATGGCAGAGCGAATCCACTCATGGACCGAAAGGTTGTTTGAGTATGTTGGACTTGTTTTTTTGCAGTGGTTGCAATGGTTGCAGTGGTCACCTCACCCACAACTTCTGGATGTCGTATGGTGTAGTGCAGTTGTAGTTGTAGATGTAGTCTAGTGGAGTTGTAGTTGTAGTGTAGTGTAATTAGTGTAGTTGTAGTTGTGGTTGTAGCTGTGAAGTAGTGTAGTGTACTGTAGTGTAGTGTACTGTCGCATTGTGTACTCTAGTGTAGTGTAGTCTAGTGTAGTGTGCGTGTGTGTGCGGTAGTGTAGTGTAGTTGTAGTTGTAGTGTAGTGTTGTGTAGCTGTAGTGTAGCGTAGTGTACTGAAATTAGCGCAGTGTCACAGTGTAGCGTTGTGCGCTGTTGTGTAATGTAGTTGTAGCTGTAGCTGTAGCTGTAGTAGTTGTAGTAGTAGTAGTAGAAGTAGTAGTAGTAGTAGTAGTAGAAGTAGCAGTAGTAGTAGTAGTAGTCGTCGTCGTAGTAGTAGTACTAGTCGTACTCTCAAACCCCTTAGTCGCACCATCTCAGTTGTAAAGCCAGAATTAGTTGGGGAAGTCAGTGCGGCAAAGTCGCACCAACTTGCGTTCAGTTGGTGGGAAACATATCATAAGCAGATTATTCCTGAATTTATGCTTACTTTTGGCCTCACTCCATTGTTTTTTACATGTTGGATTTGATGTTTAATCATCATATGATTGAGTAGGTGTGGATGCTAAATGCTGCGTTCAGGTTGCAACTTGATGGTTTTGAAATATAGAGGGGTATCCTTTTCTGTGCGATTAATGCTCGGGGAAGTGTATATCAAGAGTGTAAGACTATTTGAATCCCTACATCCTGTAGCCATTTTGTGGGTCAGTTGATATGGCTAATTTGGAGACACCGCCGAAGAAAGCCCGATTGGAGCCACAGACGTCACCAAAGTCGTCTGAGAAGGCAGGGCAGACCTGGTCAGCTATGTGGGTTGTAACATGTCTATTCTTGGAATCCTGAGAGTGATTGTAGAGTTGTGCAGATAGCCCGGCCCAAGCACAGGGGTGTTCAATCTTGCATCAGCAGGCAAGAGTCATTTTCTTCTGCTCTTCCTTTTGCGTGTGCCTGTGCATGTGCGGTGTGTGTGTGTGTGTGCTGGTGTATGCGTTTTCCTTTTTGGTTAGCGGGTGCGTGGCTTGCTTGGTTTGATTTGGTTTGTTGATCGGGTGCTGCTTTGTTCGCTTTCCTTGTCTTGCGCCAGGCGCGAGCTGATTCGAAACCGCGAGCGAAGGATTCGGAGGCTGGATCCTTATGCGGCGCATTTGATGTTCTTTTTTTTCGTTTCTTTTTTTGTGGCCTGACGTCGCTTGTGTTCCCTTTCCTTGTTGTTTTTCTTGTTTCTCCTTCGTTTTCTGCCTTTCCTTTTCGCCGCGCGCAAGGCTTCACGATGTGACAAGGAAGAGCCAGTGGCAGATCCTGATGCTGGGCGTGGCTAGATGGGTGCAGGGACACTGTCAAGTGAGTGGTCTTTCAAGAAGTGCTTGAAGCTGTGCCATGTGTATATTGATAGGAGGTGGGATCACAAGTCTGGTTGCTGCCCACTGTGCGCCTGGAAAGTGCATCAAACACTGTGTTACAATAGGGTCACTGTGCATAAATGTCCACCTTTTTTTTTGCAAAGCGAAGTGTCTGCAGTCTGCGGTACCTCTAGCAATACCTTGGCGATACACATGGCAATGCTCATGGCTTAGCCGTATCTTGCTCTTGCTGCTGCTGCTGCTCCTGCTGCTGGTGTTGTTCTTCTTCTTATTATTCTTCTTCTTCTTCTTCTTCGTCTTCTTCTTGTCCTTCTTGTTGTTGTTGTTCTTCTTTTTCTTCTTCTTCTTCTTCTTGTCCTTCTTGTTGTTGTTGTTGTTGCTGCTGCTGCCGGTGCTTCTTTTTGAGTACCTGACCTGCTTGGTTGCTCGCTTGCTTGCTGCTTGGTGGCCTATTCGCCTGCTTGCCTGGCTGTTCGTCTTCCTGCGTCCTAACCTGCCTGCGCTTGCCTCAGCGTGTTTTCCTGCCTGCTTGCTTGTCTGTCTGCTGTGCTCTTGCTTGTCGACCATGCGCCACATGATGTCCCAATAGGAAAAACCCCTTCTGAAATACGTGCTTGCTTTTCTGGTGTTCAGCTGGAGTATGCAAAGGTAGCAGCCGGGCTTCCAACAAAAAAGCTTCCCTACAGCCAAATACCATGGTTCTGAAGCACATCCTTGGACCTACTGCTTGCCTAACCTATCTTTGTGAATGAAGTCTCAAGAAGCTAGCTCCACATGCAGCAGCCAAGCTTCCAAAAGTGAGGCTTTGTAAGAATCAAACAGAACACCAAGGCTCGTGCTTTTGCTTTTCCTCTGATGCGCCCCCTGCTCATGGCTGGGGTCTGCAGATAGGAATATGCTCGGTTAATTTACTTTCTTTATTTACGAAGAATGGCCGCTCCCGGACCAGGAATTTGGAGTTTGATCAACAACCATGTGTGGAAATCTGAAAACCTAATCAATTCACACATTTGGTTGCATTGTGAGCGCGTATGTTCTATGTTTCCTTCTTGTTTGTTGGAGAAACAAAGTTCTCAAGCGTTTGACATCGTTCATGTGGGAAATAGCAGGGTTTAATATGGGGTAGTTGTGTTGTTATATGTTGCCATATGTTATCATAGAAAAAAGGGTTTTGTATTGGATTGCGATCTAGCAAATTTGAGATTGTATCCGGCTAGCCACCCTTGAAAGAATAACCTTGAAGTAATCCTGCGTGTGGGGAATGGTTTCTTGAATAGCGATGTTTCAAAGATTTTCCAACCATGGATGTGGCTTTACAGCATGCAATCATGTCAAGGTAGGAGTTGTTGACAGCAGCTTGAACCATGTGGAAGTCATGCAGATAGTTTTTGAGGAGAATCAGCGCAGTGTGCCGTTGTAGGCGTTGTATACTTGATGAACTCCCTGCTTTTTTGTTTGGCCGGCAGGGCCGGCAGTTTTCTCTATGACCTGTCGGCTCGTTTTGTTTCTTGGTGCCTTTGCGGGTGTACGCAATGAATTTGCAGCTAAGGACATGACCGCCATCAGCTTGGCACGCTCTCTCCGTGCAAAATATCCTGATACTTTTGCAGAATTGGACCGTTTGACGAAAGAAGCTAAGCTGTCACAGGCTGAAGGCAGTCGGAAAGGGTGCATGCTGAAAGGAGAGATGCCCAAAGAGTCTTTGACTTGCTCAATATGTAGTGTTGCAAAGCATCACTGCGAATGGATGTATAGGTCGGGCTACAAAGGTGCTCGGCGCTGCAATGGTTCTATTTGTAACACGTGCTTCAAGACTGCTCGCTACCTTGGTGTCAGTCGCTCGCCTAACCTGATAATTCAGTGTCGGGCTCGCGATGTTTTTGTTACGCTCAGCACTTTTGTGCGCCAGAGCAAGGGAGTTGAGGATGTGTGCCGGTGTCACCGATGCCGTCCTGATGAGAAGGACGAGTGATAATAATACATCACGATGTTCTTGCGTGGGTAATTGCAACTTCCTCGGCAGTACGTGCCTTGACAGGTTGCTGAGAACTTTCAGGGAGTAAAAGATGTTTGGTCACAAAGTCGGCTCGTGTTTGGAGAACCAATGATTCAAACATATTGCTTTGATTCTCTTTCATTGTGTCACTTGCAAAGACTGACCAGCTTGGCCTTACACTGCACCACATTGCTGAATAGGTTTGAAATTGATCCCACGTTTTTCAGACGGGTCCTGATTGAACCTTGCTCCGGTTGAGCCAATTTGTTTTAGGAGCCATCAGAATTTCTGCTTGTATAGATGTGGCGTGTCTCCACACCAGATTTCTTTCAGTTCACGGCTCGCGCCAGATCAGTTCCTGTCGGAACCTGTTGGTATTTTTGCTCAAAAAACATTTGTTAATTGTAGCTGCTTGGAAATGGCGCCCAAGCGTTTTTCGTCAGCGGAAATCACTCGGCTGTCTCGTGCTAGTCTCATCAGTGCATTAGAGGAATGGGGTGTTGCTTACCAAGCAACTGACCGTGACTTGAAGCTGCGCTGCAAACTGGACGAAGCTATACATGGCGCTGGTGAAGGCCAGCCCAAGCAGAATGAGCAGATAGTTCCCCTGAATTCAGAGAGCCTCTCGGCTTCCGAATGCTAGCAAATAGTTGTTTTTTCTTACTTGGAGGGAACCTTTCATCGACTCCAGCATTTTGGTGTTTTTGGACCTCGATCGGACCTCGATAGGACCTGGATCGAACGCGGTGCCAAGGCCCCACAACTACAAATGTTGTGATTCTCGATTCAGGTGGAGGGTCATTCCTCCACCTCAGCCCGAAGCTTTTGAAAGTAGCTTTGGATTTCAACCTCCGCCCATTCTATTTGCCGGCTTGGACAACCAAGGCGCTGATGCCATTGGACCAGGGGATGCATAGCACGATGGCAAGAGTCTGGAAGCAATTTCGACAACAATGGAGCTACAGAGCCCAGCCACTCACCCTTTATGTGGCGCTTCGTGCAGCTTCTGAAATTGTTGACGCTGCCCACGAGCCTCATGTAGTCAGGGCGTCGTGGGCCCAGACTGGCTGGAGGAGCGGAGAAAGATTTGATTCGGACAAGATTTTTCAAGAACGTGCTGCTGAAATTTTTGTTTCTGTGCGCGATGCTCCGCAAGATGACGGCGCCCCAGCTTCGTTGGCCCTTAGCATGGTTTGCGGCGAGCAGAACGCAGAGTACGATTCCGCTAAAGCAGAACTTCTCCGCACTGGTCATCGCAAGGGGTGGCGCAAGGCAGAGAATCTCAACCAACCAGAAGAAGAAGACGCTGCAACAGATGACGTGTCCAGAGGCTTGATGAACCAATTAGACGACTTGCTGTCAGAACTGAGAAAGAAGAAAGCTTCGTCAGGCACTTCTAGTTCTAGTGCCCCAGCCACCTCTTCACAAGTTCCATTGGCTCAGCAGGCGGCTCCTCCTGCTGAGCCGCCAACGGCAGATTCGTCCAAGGAAGTTCCTGCTGAACCAGAAGAACTAGATTTAGAAAACGTTGAGCAGGCAATTACAGTCATCAGCTTGCATTGGAGCGAATCCAACAGGCCAAAGGTGTTGCCCGGCATTCGATTCTGGGTAAATGAGCAGAAAGCTGTGGCCAGCAAGAAAGAACCGCTTTCGCACATCATCCAGAAGAAACTGGTGAAATCGTGTCTTTTGAGTAAAAGGGCAGACAGGGACAAGTGGCTTGCTTCTGTGCAAGCCAACCGTAAGAACCGTTTCGTGGCAAAGCCACCAAAAAAATAGCATCCGGGCAAAAAAAACCGTGGTGGCAATTTGCCTGTGAGATTGCATGAAATGGACATTGTTAATTCCTGTTTGGAATTGTTTTGATATACGAATATGGATCCGGTAACTGGGCACCAGCATGAGGTGCAGCTGCACATGGCTGAACTATTGATGCATTAGCAATAGGGTTTGCTTCACCAACCCAAACAAACGGTTCTCCAATTTATCTGGTTCCAACCAACTCAGGAATCCATATTCGAAGCCTTCACAATGGAAAACCAAATTCCACACACAAAGTTGAACAAGTTCAGACGTTCAATGGGGTATGGTTGCGTTATCAATAGGATTTGGTGCCCAGAACAAAGAAAAATTGTTTCCAACCAGTTCGTATTAATATATCCAATTTTGAAGCGTTGGCAATGGTACAATACATTCCCAACACATGATTTCAGAATGGTTCCGATCAGAAGAAATGCAATGGGATTGATATGATTTTTGTACTGTGTGGCGAATGGGATTCATTTCCTCGCACCAAACATAGTGGTTCCATCCCAACAAGTTTAAGAATCCATATTTGAAGTGTTTACATTGGTAAAACCGAATTCCATATGCATACTTTCATGAATATTAAGACCAGGAGAAGTTATCATAGGGTCTAGTTGCATGATGCGTTAGCAATATAGGATTTGTTCCTCCATACCAAACAACTGGTTCTCTTAAGTTATCCGGTTCTAACCAATTCAGGAATCCATATTTGAAGCGTTCACAATGGGAAAAGCAAATTCCACATACATAAAAATAATACCGTATATAGATGTAAATGGATATGGTTGAATGTGGCGTTGACAATAGGATTTGTTCCTGATAGTACCTTAGTTCAACCCTCTAAATACAGGTTTTTTGCTATGGTGGGACTTGCGTTTACAATGGGGAAACCACATCCATATAGATGTCATAATGTCAAAGTGATAAATTCGTGTTGCGTTCACAATGGGGGAAGGAATTGGTGTGACTTTTCTGGACATGTGGTGGGCGGAGTTCCATGGGGGAAAGGAGCTCAGAACAAAGTTGGTGGGACTACCGGGTTCCCCTGTAGTAGTAGTAGTAGTAGTAGTAGTAGTAGTAGTAGTAGTAGTAGTAGTAGTAGTGGTAGTAGTGGTAGTAGTGGTAGTAGTGGTAGTAGTGGTAGTAGTGGTAGTAGTGGTAGCAGTGGTAGTAGTGGTAGTAGTGGTAGTAGTGGTAGTAGTGGTAGTAGTGGTAGTAGTGGTAGTAGTGGTAGCAGTGGTGGTAGTAGTAGTAGTAGCAGCAAAAATTATTTCTTATTATTAGTAGTAGTAGCAGCAGCAACAGTTGTAGTAGTTGCAGTTCTAGTTGTAGTTGTCGTGGTAGTTGTAGCTGTAACGTAGTGTACTGTAATTAGCGTTGTGTATTGCAGTTGTAGTTGTAGTTTGTAGTTTGTCTTTGTAGTGTAGTGGTAGTGGCAGTTGTAGTGGTAGTTGTCTATCTATCTATCTGTCTATCTGCAAGCTTGAAAACGAAGCTATTCTGCGAGACCTCCTCAATTTTTGAAGTTGACAATGACAACATCAAAGCGCAGCAATTCGGCGAGACTTCCTTCAATAATGGAAAGTTGAGTGCAGAGCTGACGGCCTGGTACCAATGCGTTTTGCGATTTTTCCTCCAACAACGCAGCCACCTCCAAGCTAAGAAACTGGGCGAAGACAGCGTAGGCGAAAGCCATTTAATTTGAATGCAAGCATCACTCAATCAAATGAACTCATGTAGTGGCGGCACAAAATTGAGCGGACTATTTTTGCAGCAAATTTGGAGGCACACCCCATCAAGAAAGCAAAAATATGATCCGGAAATTAGAAGGAACGAGGAATGTGCAGGAAACCCACATGGCAAAAACCAAACTTCAGCAAATGTGTATGTAGATCTCAGGGCATTGACGGACAGCTGGTGGGATTGGAACAGTCGCATGGCAGCTCGCTTGAACCTTTGGACAAAAACTTTCAAAATCATGGATTGATTTATGAAACCCGCGAAGTATCCAAACTGGAAAACACAACCTGCTACGATGAACCCACGACGTTCTATGGATCGATCTATGCGACCCAACGACCCATGCAGATTGTGAGAAAAATTCGCAAATAGCGCCAGCTGCGCTGGGACTGAGCCGCGTGGTCCAGCAGTCAAAATTGCAGAATCTAGACTTCTGACCAAATCTGACCAATGGCTGCCACATTTCTTGGTGATAAGCGATGGCGATATAGCTGTTTTGGTGAGAAGATACTCTAGTTATGATAGAAGGGCTACTTGGTTCGCCTCGCTCAACGCAAGAGATGAACATGTTTTAGACATCACCGGCACGGATTACAAGTGAGTGACATGTCGCAGAACAAACAGAGCCCTTCGAAAAACGCCTAGTTTTGGAGAGCTTACAAAAGATTAAGTCAACACCTTATATTGAGGAAAAAATCTTGCCCCGCAGGTATCTCCATTGGTAGCATTTTGAAGGACGAACTACGTGTGGCCAACGTATGGACCAAATGGGTTTGCAATGACATGGCCAACGCAAGTTCTTCGCAGGCCGTTTGTTGGCGGGTTTTTTCAAGGAAAGCCCAAGCAGTATCTTTTTCTAACTTGTCAGCACAAGAGTTACCTCCGGTGAGAAAAGGATCTTGACAAAGGTCGTGTTTCCCACAGTGGGCTTTTACTTTCTATACATGGTGAAAGGCTGGCCTCGCTTGGTGGCCACAGAATTGAACAAAATCCACGGATCCCGAGTGTCAAGATTGGTGATACATCCATTTGAGAAACCACTGCGTTGTAAGAAGTTGACCATGTTGTGACTACAGGCGCACAATAAATCGTGATATTCCCGGCGCAGTGCCACAAAGCTGCGACGACTGCAAAGATCTCAGCCCGTTGGCTTGTTTGGTCAAGGCAAGGTAGGAGATAAGCTTTTGAGCAGCCACGCTTTGAAACAACTGTGCTGCTGCAGCAGATCGCATTGGAGCCCAAGAGTGATGAAAACAAGAGCCATCAACAAAAATGGGACTTTCAGGCACAAAAGCTTAAAAATCATCCATGGGAAGAACAGGCCTAGAGACAACTTCCTGCCGCCACTTGGTGATTAACTCACCTTCTGGAAAAAATGCCTGTACACCACGTTGTGTCATGGAAGAAGCTTGAAGGTCGATTCCTTTCGTAGAAACCACACGATTTGAATAAATGAAGGTGGTCCTCTCTTTGGTCGCATCCTTCACATTTACCATCTTTGGCAACAATCCCTTCTGCTTTGCATCGCGCTCGAGTGAGAACAC